AAGATCCTGGTCTACACAGCTGCAGTTTTCACCACTCTCCTGTACGAATCAGAGGCCTAGGTTCTGTACCAGGTGTTTTGTATTACTGCACTTCCATTAGCACTGTCTCTGCCCGACCATGGGCATCAAGTGGCAAGACTACAGGACCAACAGTGAAGTCTTGGAAAGAGCCAACTGCTTTCCTGGGCAGACTGCTTGTCATGTATGAAGGACACCTGCGTGCCCCACGTAAGTAACTCAAACACCAGCTGAGGTGGCAGCTCACTGAAGCTGAGATCCAAGAAAAGGAGTGGGAAAGGGGGTCAAAGGACAGCAACATCTGGAGAGCTTTGTCAAGGTGAGGCGCTGTGGCCTTCAAGATGGCCACAAGAGATGCTTGGAGAGATGAGACAGGAGAAAAAAGGCGTCAGCTACCCTGAGAACCCTTGCCCAAGGATTCCCATGCCAAAGGTGCAGCAGAGTGTGCAGATCAAGGATCAGCCTGCACAGCCAACAGAGGGGGTATCAACAGGGACGACCTTCCCACTGATCCTCGCAACTGATTGATTATGGAACCTGCCATCATCATCATCATCATCATCATCATCATCATAAATTTTAAATATCACGGTACAAAATACGGAGGAGCACAAAAGATATATGGCGACAAATGGGGCTTCACTCGAAGATTTAATCAAACCTTACCACCAAGACTCCTTTAGAAACAAAAATATGTTCCAGACATTGCCTACGAGTCCTATCCGCAGTTTGTATAGTCCTATCTTTCCTGTCCCCTTCTGAGTGCCCACACATGAACAATGAACACTGATCATTGACATGGAGAAGATCCTGGAGTGTCAGGCCAAGCGTGCTGAGCTACCCTTCATCTCTTAACATTGAGGCCCCTAAATGTCTGCTGCAAATCCCAGTTGATGACCCACCGAAAATTATACCAACCCTTAATGAGACTCTGGGAGATCTGCCAGCTGTTCAAAACAGGAAGGCATGGCCCTTTGTGGACGAGCTGCTTTAGCTGCATGAAGTAATCTGACAGGAAGGGAAAGTCCCCAAGGACTTCAAAGATGCCTCAATCATTCCCCTTTACAATAAGGGGAATGAGGGGATAATGCCTTCACATCTTGAGAATGGTCTCCTTCCTGAAATTCTGTGAAGTTTCCAAAAAGAGTGGGCAACCCTTATCATTATCATTTTGCTGCCTGCAGGTTTTTTTTAAGGTAAAATGCAGGGAAAAAAAATCAAGTACAAATGCACCCCGGAGTTCATCATAATTGTATGACAACTACACATCGACATGCTCACCAGAGTCCAGGACAATGGAGAGACCTCTTCAGCATTCTCCATCTCCCCAGGAGTCAAGCAAGGCTCTATGCTTGCCCTGACCCTATTCAGCCCTGCGTTTTCAACCAAGCTAAAAGAAGCTTTTAAAGACTCCGACAAAAGCGCAGGGACCACATTTTACACTGATGGTTTTATTCAACCTGCTTCTTCAACCTGCAAAGACCAAAGCAAAAGTCAAGGTGACAACAGTTGTAATCAACAAATTACGGTCGTTGGCCGTACCTTAATGACACCATCTTGACTTTATTTGTATTAATAAACGACATTTCTGGCCACACATCACTAACTTTAAGTCAAAAGAATACTTGGACGAATTTATGGTCATGTTGTGTTATGTTGTGTTATATTGTGTGACATAAATGTGAAATTAGATTACCGATGGTGTCGTAATTAAATCTCCAAAATCAGTTTTAAATAGCTTCCCAGGGCGAGCACAATTTTGACAATGGCTATTTACATATCATGCATTGTGTAAGTCACCAAACACGGCATCCCGCTAAAAAGTGCGGAGGAAAGGAAAAAGTTTCCTTCGATCTCTTTCTTTACCTTTTTTCAAAGTAGTGATAAATTATGAACTTTGATTATCGTGGCCAGGGGTCGTTAGATCTGTTCGCTTGGTTTTTGGGTTTTTTTATGTTTAAGTTGTCAGTCAAATAACTAATTAGGTAGCCTCTAATTATATCGGTTTGAGGTTAAGAGAGTTTGCTGGGCGGAACTTGAACAATACTGATTGGTGGCTCATTGGCTTTGCTTTGACTCAAAACAGTAAAATTGAACTTAACGTCGACGTCTGGAATAACCTAACATCATATCTCCTTTTATAAGTGGCAAACTAAAGCGAAAGAAAACAACGCTTTAGAATGCGTGTCTCATCACAGCGTTCCAGATTTATCCCTGACAATATTTTCGTAACCGCACGACTCCTAATAAACAATGCGTCTCAGATTTCTAAACTCGTCACTTAAAAAAAGCATAGGTCAAATTCCTGCACCCCACGCCTTAAATCATCCTGTTGTGATCAAAATTTCATCGGTATTCCTTCCCTAACCTGAACGACCACTTTGCTCGCTTTCGTTGATCGCAAACGAAAAAAAACCTGTTTCAGCATAGAAATGAAAAATAATGAAAATGGACCCAGAAGGGAAGGAGTCATGGGCATCTCAAGAACACGACAGGAGAATCGAGAATCGAAACACTTTTCGCCTTTCTTCGCTTTTAAACACCTCACACATAATCCTTCATTATTCATGTAGTGGGTCTTCTTTTCTGCTTGCAGGACGAGGTTCAAGAAATTAGAATATATCTTCTACAAAGGTAGCTCAACAGGTAGGTAGAAGAAAGGAGAAATCCACTTTTTATTATGGTTTCTTCATTGTGAGAGATTACATCCCTTGATGGAAAGAACTGACTTGTTCATGTGCTTTCTGATAGAAGAGCAACGGAATTTTACAAGCATTGCGAGAGAGAGGTGGCTGAATCCCTTTTCAGTCGAAAATAGGGTAACAGGCTCTTCGAGGATTCTGAATAAGCCGCACAAAACATAACTGTTAATCAAGGAAAATTAGATCTACTTTTATCAAAATGCTGCTGCTCTAAAAATTTAAATGCAGTTCTAGAAACTAAATGCAATTCTCTCCATTCTACACTCATTGAAAGAAAAACATATTTCTTTTTACCAGGGATCAACATGATATTTATCTTTCAAGATTATTTGTAAGTATTAAGCGACAAACTTGTTATTTTACCCAATATTTATCGATGTTTGAGTAAAAACATATATAATTTTTTACGATTTTTCATGTTTTGTGATCTTCTTGGTGCCCAATTCAGCATCTTTAGTTCATAAAAACTGAAGCATTGCTTTCATCTACAGGAGGCAGCGGATGCCATCAGGAGGCACACAGTTATACAAACAGACTGGAGGTAAGGATATAAAACTAACGAATACATATACTTCTTTCCAGCCAATTAGCTTATGAGGGTAACTAGTACCGCTTAGTGTGCCTGTGCCTGTTTGGTTTTCTTAAACCAAACTTTGGCTCAAGAGGATTGAAAAATTTAAAAAAAATATAAGTTTAATATGAAGGGAAGGTTTTGAGGTTTAGAGTAAAAGAGAATACCTGAAGCATCTCTATAGTTCAGAGCTGAGAGAATTAAAGAATGTGTGACCTTGAAGGCAAAAAGTAAAATTATCCTTCCTGTGTAAGGAGGTTTTCCAGTGTCTTTCGAGAAAGGACTTTGCTTCCACGGTTCCCAAGCAAAAGTGATATTTCATTCCCACTGTGTAACTTGTTCTCTTGAACAGCAAATTTATAATTATGTAACAGCGTCTCACAGGTTGATTCTAAATTAAGGTAACCTGATGTAATGTCTTACCACAAATTCGGATGAAAAGAAGTATTTTAAAAAGTTTTTACTCATCAACTTGAAACAAAATTTAGGCATATTTGTGTAAATCGGACTTTTTCATCAGTATAGCTGGAATTATCCACAAAGGTAATACTGACATTTGTCAAAAAATCATTGAAGTCAAACATGAACATCCTCCCCAAGGCAGTTTAAATTTATACCAGATAATGTATTACTTTTATCAACATGAAAAAGATATTCCGAAATTTCGTTCATCAGGGTCCTTGATTTTCTCAACAGGAACCAACAAGATCCTTCCAGAAATAAAGTAGAGGTAAGTAACAAGGTATTAACATTACTGCAACGTATTTGGGAATCAAACGTCAATTCCTAATCATTCATTTAAGACCTCCAAAACCTAAAACACACCAAAAAACCAATGTTCTTCTTTTATTAGGGAAATGTTTGTTTTAGCCACTGAAAAATGACAGTGATAGCTATTTAAAGATGTATTTCACCATTCAGCAAGTGTTTTTTTTTCGTTTTAAGATGAGATGCAGCTCCTCCTGCATGGTTGCCACAACCATGGGCTTTCGAAACTCCTTGAATTTTCCTCACTTTTTTCTGACAAATACAACATTTCCCTGACCATCTTAATTGACAATTTCACCAATAAATTCTCCAGGGAAATTCACTGACTTTTCGCTGCTTTTAAAAAGTCTTTTTTCCTCTTCCATCTCCTGATTTCAAGAACCCATGTCCTAGAAAACAAGTCCAGGGCTGGGGCAATAGTTTCCCATTTTACCAACTAAACCACTGTTTCTATGCCTGCTAGAACTTTCCCGCCCAAAATATCCCACTTGTTTTGCCAACCTGCCTAATTCACATTCAAATGCTTATGCAGTCTTTTTACATTCTCTGCTACTATTTAATTTCTACGCAAAAGTTTTTATCAACGTGGGTCATATTTGATGGTTGAAACATTGTCAAGTTTTACTCAGTCAATCATAGTTCCTAATTATCATTGTTATCAAAATCACCCTCAATATTGTTTTGTCGCCATAATCATTATATGAACAATGATTATTACAATTTTCGTTACTATCATCATCATCTTTACCTGTACATACAAACACACATACTTTATTAATCCTTTTCAGAATAAAGGTACATTATTCTCCTACACACCAAACTGCCCATTTAAAGTATAGTCATTAGGAATGTGTGAATCATTTGAATTCTACCATCCACTAAATCTGGGATATGTTTCATGCAAAACCAGTCCATTATCAAAATGAAAAAGATATCCTTACCTTTCTTTATTCTTTACTCGGCAGGTAGGAGGCATGTGAACATGAAACACTCCTTTATTGAGAATCACTCAGTATAACCTGAAATTGTTACCATATCATACGTTATCACAAGATCGACAACATTTTTCATGTTATTTAATCAGTTATTCCCTGTTATAGAAAAAGGATCTTTAGATATTTACTGATTTATTTTGTACATCACGTTCTTGGTTTGTAAATAAATCAATAAAAAAATAGATTTTTAAATGATTGCTTTTGCTTTAGTTTTGCTACCCTTTTCCCCCTGGTATGTAGGTAAATTTAATTTCAGATGAGGCACAGAGCTGTTCAAATTAATATACTGCTGAGCCTTAACAGAACGTAACCAATCTCCAGCACAAGGCTCCATTTCCACTTATCTTATTAACAAAAATATCGTATGACTTCAGACAAGAGTGATAGAGAGTGACAGAAACCGTTTAATACTGAGATTATCCTTCCTAACGAACTCTCCCCCCCCCCCAACACACACAGCCTGGAATTTCCTATGCAGTGCCAAAAACATACTTGAACAAATTATGTGGAAAAACTAACCAAGAAGCGACGATTCAAATTAAAAAGGATCTCTACTTTCAAAAGTATATACTTCTATCTACATTTTTTATTTTTAATACTATTCAGCTTTAATAAATATTTATTAGCAGTTCTTTCGACTATGAAGTTAAGTTACTTCTTATCGTCAAGCATTTTTGACTGGATCCTCTGGCTCATACTTAAAGGGTAACCTTATCCCACGCTTTAACATTGACATTTTGACTGACCGAGTGATTGATAATCGTGTTGTAAAAATAAACAATAAAAAATAGGTAGTCCGAGAGTGCACGTGCCTACTGATATAGCACAATTTTCAAAGCATTGAACAAAAATAAAGGTTTTAAAAACGGGCGGCATCCGATATATTTATGTGTACCCTGTTCTCCAAGGGAAAGATGATTCAAGAATATAATGAATAATTACCAATAACTAAATGGTAACAAATAATCATATTAACAATAATAAGGATATTTTAAGATATTCCGTTATTCCGTGTCCTCGGATATTCCACCCTTCCATCTTTCCATTGGGCAGATACCTGGTAAACTCAAGGTAACGTATTTCACAGCTTGTTCGCTTCGCAAATTTAGAGGCTCTTTTGGGCATAAATCACTGATTCAAAGAGTAAATTGCTCTCTATTCATAGGAAAACAAAATTTCCTACAAGTTTCCATGATGTGCTGATCACAACTAATGCTACATTTCTGCAAGGGGAAGTTTTGATTTTAATTACGTGTCGGTGGATTCTACAATGAAATTATTTTGAGATGTTTATCGTCTTTTGTAGTGTCACGGCAAGAAGTGAAAAAATTGACCATCTTTGTGGCATTGAAAAGAGCTAGAGGTTGTATAATGATGCCAGACGGTAGTGTTTCAGAATATTTGCCTTACATGCATGTGTACCCTGTTCCAGAAGAGAAAGATAATTAAAAAAATAGTGACCGACTGATATCCAACCAATAGTTAAATGGTAACAAATAATCGTAATATAATAATAATAATAATAATAATAATAATAATAAAGATAATAATAGTAACGATAATGATCATTTACAGGGGTTAGTTCAAGAACCTCACTGTTCCTCTATCTTCTACGCTCCAATAATGATTTGACTATGCTTCTTTTAATTCTGACTGTTAAGTTTTAATTATATTCTTATTTCATGACGATTCCATTTTTGTCAGATTTTTGTTTCCTACAACGATGCATTGCGCGTTTTAGGAAATTCCGTCATTCCGGGTTTCAGGATATTCCGCCATTCCACCGTTCCTTCGTTTCGTCGAATAGGGTCACCTTGTTAAAACTCTTGGAATCGTGATTCGGACCTTGCTCACTTTTCAATTTTAGCGGCTCTTTTGAGCATTAGCCGTTGATTAAAATGGTAAAATACTCTCTCTTTAAATTAAAAAAAATTTTCCTCAAAGTTTCCACGCTGTGCAGATCACACCAACTTAGATATTTCCGCAAGAAAAATTTTGTTTTAGTTACGCGCCAGAGAAGTCATTGTGAAATTGTTTCGCAATGTTTATCATCTTTTGTAGTGTCACGGCAAGAACTGAACAAATTATATCCTCGGATCTACTGGACATAGTTCGCTCATTCAAATGGTAAAATGCTCTCTATTCAAAGAAAAAAATTTCTTCTCAGTTTTCATGATGAGGTGATCACACATATTAAGGAGGGAGGCATTGGGGCCTATTAGAAACCACAAAACCGTAGAGAATATCATCCAAAACCGATAAACCGAAGAAAACTTCAATTAAAACCGAAAACCGTATGCAAAACTGTCAAAACTGATACATCTCATAGTCCACATCCCAGTTGTTAGAACCCTGATCGATCCCATAAAGTGGTGACAAGTGGAGCATACAGAGTAAACTACACTAATTTCATTACAGGATTTATGAATGTCATGGACTTGGCATTCGTATCCTCTAGTATCTACTTAAATTAACAGCTGCTCTTTCGAGGACCTCGAGCGTGGTCTCTGTGGATTCAGCAGTTGGTAATGGAGCCTAGTTAAATTAAGAAAATTTGCACAAAAGTCCTCTATGGGATTGCAATTTTGCAGTCACAAAAAGCTATAGCTCTGGAAAGTTTCATCGGAAATACCTAATCTAACATTTCCATTCGCGAACTAAGACCTGAAAGTTTGGAGATTCTATTAGAATGTTGAATCAATCAGTCACGTGTGGCCTGTAACTTGGTCACCAACTTCGAGGTGGCATTGATAAAGAAACTTTGGCAATGTTCCGTGCTTAGCCGTACCCTCCCCTCCCCCCCCCCACCTTGGGGGGGAGGGGAACGGCTACACGTAGGCTACCAAGGGATCCCTACGATATTTTGATTGGTTTGTAACGCATTCGTCTCAATAACATTTGCGTTTAGCTGCTATTCGAGATCAGTGGAGGCGCGTAATTGCCGCTCAGATCGAAGAGAAACCGGAACCCAAATAGATCAAATAGGGAAAACCGAAAATCGCATCGGATATCCAATCCGAAAACCTATTACTGTTTTCGCGAAAACCGAAAACTAAATGCTAAAAAACGGAAAATCCGCAAACCGCAATGAACACCAAAACCGAGAAACCGAAGTTTTCTGGCACGAAAACCGAAAAACTGATCTTAAAAATAGCTAAAACCGCAAAACCGAAAATTCCAATGCCCTCTCGTTGAGATATTTCAGCAAGGATTCAATTACCCCTCACTCACTCATTCACTTACCCATTTCGATAACATGGGACCACACTTCCTATAGGAGGCAGTAGCCAAAAAGGACCACAAGATGTCGTATGTCTTTTATCGACGTTTAAAATGGCCTTATTCGACCAAATTACTTTTCAACATGGTCAAACCCACTTGATAAATTTTTGTTGCTTTTTCCGCCTTTTGTTGGCTCTTTTGCCAAGGTGACATTTTGCGTGGAAACTTTCCCAGAATTACGAAACTTATTTTACATCCATTACATCCATTTGTCGATGTAAATCACGAATAATGAGCAGCAGCCGGACTGTCAAGGTGTAGCGTAGAGTTACAATATCTGCTACATGGAGAATCACCTTGTTCGCTATAAATAAGTGGCAAACACTAAGAGGCACAATAAAAATATTTCAAAATATGAGGTTTTTTTTTTCGTTATTACTTTCCGTCGACAGTTTTTGAAGTCCTCCGAAAGTTCTCTGTGGTTAAGCCTTTTATTGATTACGACACTTGTTCAAGTTTGCTATCGTGGTGATAAAATCGCTACTCGTAGGCAGAAAAAGTGAAATGACAATAACATGAAATAATTTTACCTCTCTCTCGCTAGACACGTGGACTACGATACTTTTCCTTTTCGTTTCCGCTTTATCTTCTGGCAGCAAGCAATGACCACGGACAAATATCCTTGCCTGACATTGCGCTAAAGGGCAAAATATTGATGTTCTATCGCCGTCTCAATCGATTCACATTGCCGGGCTAAAATCTTTAATCCTTTAGGATTCTGATGATATGTTCGAGGCAAAAAGGGCTAGTGAACATAAGTAATACCAATGGCAATAAGGGTCACTTTAAACAAAAAATCTCGAGTCACTTCAAGGATAGATCATGCTTAAATGCAGATAGGATAAAACAATAAATACTATTTTTTTCCGCCGCAAACCTGCTCAGTAATACTAGCAATATAACTGTGTACCTTCTAGAAGGGATTCTCTTAATGTGATTCTGGAATATCTCAATAAAACAAATCATACCTTCTAATGATCTAGTGCATGTTTAGGTCTAAGAATTGTTTAAGGAGCTAACGTAAGGTAGTGCCAACCTTTCTTCCATAAATTCTGGCTCACTTTTGTTTTGCTGCACTACACGGGGAGATCACATTCACAAAATAAGAAAAGGTAATCACATGATTATCCCCAAATTGCACGAGAAAAATCATGTGATTACTTAATAGTGATATGCATGTAAACACTTGACTCCTAGGGTCCGTTTCTCGAAGGTTTTAGTAACGTAACGGGCCCGCAAGGGAGTTCTGTTCTCAATCACGATGGGTGTTTCAATTTTTTAAAATTTATACTACAAAACTGACAGCTAAAGGGAAAAAGTGGACTGGATAGGGTGCCAGGACATGCATTTCAATTCTTCAAATTTTGATTTGTTTCGGGCCCGCTAAGTTACCGGAACTTTCAGAAAACGGTAAAAGCCGTGTTTTTTTCGTGCCTTGTTTTCTTAGTACCCGGGCTTTTCCCATAAGAACCATCAACGCACCTTTAAATTCTCTCTCGCGAGTAACCTCTGTCGCGAATACTCAAGGGTACCTTTTTGTTAAGTAACGGTCAATAGTATTTGCCATTACACACAAAGGCTATCACGCTCGTAATCTTCCTCGTCTTTCTAGTGAACTCTTGCGTAAAACTCCTCAGGGCCTCCGGTTCTGAGCTTTCAATACTCTTTGTCATAGCCTCTTGACAAGCCTAAGACTTCCAGACCTTGGCCAGTAATTTGCGCTTTGTTGGGTGTTTTTCTCTTCCTCGGTCACACTCAAAATTGAAACGTTATTATTACCGCCACTTTGTTTTGTTCAATTTCTGAACTCAAGTTTCTGTTCAACTTTCTGCTCCTCTTAATTCGAACTGACGTGGTGTTAGCCATTGAACCCATTACATTTCCTCGGTTGGAATAATAAGACAGCACCCATTGATAGATTCTCTTTCATACCAAGCACGTTTTTTTTTTAATTCAAGTTCACTTACATAACCGAATTACAATGAAAGAAGTTTGAGCGCAATAAAGATTCAACCAAAATTTCCGGGAGGAATTTTCGAGTTTATGTGCGAATGGATCACGAGTTCTGACTGGTCTCGCTCCTGTCGCTTATCAAATTGCGTGCATGTTTTTTCAAAAGGCCAATGGCATGTCTGCGTCGTTCGAATCGGCAATCACATCATTTCGAGTAAATTTTTCAAAAGCTAACCAAATTGCACCTTGTAGTCTTTGAAAAATTTACGACTGCTGATTCATCCCAAACTGCACGGGAAAAAAATCATGTGATTATTGCCCCCGCAGGGTTTTTTGGCCCCAGAGGGCCAAAAACCCGAGGAGGCACCTTAGGACTCCCCGCGTAATATAGAGGAAGACTTGAGAAGAGAGAATGTAGGTATTTTCGGGAGATCATAACCAGAAAAAATCTCGATTTGATCGCTTGCACGGCCGCAAGGTATCAACGTTTTTCCCGCAAATGGTCATGGGCGGCCAGCAAAAAGACACGCGCTCGAGGACTTTTGGGATCGGCGTCTTTGACACGAGCTTTGTCCTTGTCGAGATTTCGAGTTAAGCGTCCGCGTCGAGAAGCGTTTCCAAGTCCAATGGTAATTGTGTATAGCATCTTTCTAACAATTAAAGGTAGTTTTAAGTTTAAAAGGTGATCAGAATCCGTCAAAAGAGAAACGGTTGTGTGAAGTCTCGATCGGAGGCGGCGGAGGGTCCACAGCTCAGTCAGCTAACGTGAGAACTTAAAGCAAAGAACTTGCAGCATAATTAAAGTATAACCAGATATCAAATACATGAAAAAGTTGAGCTTCTAACTCGTTTGCTTTGATGTTGGATTATTCTCAGAGTTTTAGAGTTTCTTCGGTCGGAGTCCACGCGACCATCAAAGTGTGAAAGGCGCGGAGAGTGCTGTTTTGTGCTTAAAAGCTGTCTTGACTCATTTGTGTTATACAGAAGTTAATACAGAAATAATTTCACCGATGCTCAGAAGACGGTGTAAGTTTAGCATTTTGACCGAAAGACTCGGTTAATTCCGATTTGTCCGCCGCAAATCAAGCTTATTGCACAAAGCCGAAAGACTCGGCAATTTCTGGATTTGTCAGAGGCAAGTCTGTTATTGGGCGCGAAGGACTCGCAGCACAACTGAAAGTAAACAGTAGTCAAAGAAAGGAAATTACTGGTTGTAATTGTAAATTACAGCAAAAAAAAAAAACATCCCAAGCACTTCGCAAAACTACATTTTGTACACTTGTAGTATTTTGAGATCCAAAATTACTAAAACCAAAGTATTGAGCCACAATTCCGTAACAACATAACAGAAAAATTACACAACAGTAAACAACAAGCCCAACTAAAAAAAAAAAAACAAAATAAAATGGTACTGTAGGGCGGGGGCAGCTCTAGTGAGAACTATAACTAGTTAGTTAATAACATACCAGCAAATATGACTCTGTTTTCCTCTTTAGTTGTTTTTATTTCGTGTCATGGCTCACTAGTTCGGCCGCTTGCCTTTGCCTTGTTGACGGAGTAATTGGGATTTTTCCTCAAGAATTTTCCTTAAGCTTTTAGTTATCAGCCGACAGCAGTAACCATAACATGAAGGCTATCGCACTCGTAGCCTTTCCCGTCTTTCGTAAAAGAACATCTTTCCAAGGCAATGTGAATTTCAAATCATTCAGAGAAAGTGAACCTATAAATACTCAACCAGCTCCCACAGAAAAATCATCTCCGTTTCCGATAAAACTCACACCACTAACCGGATATTAATCAGTATTAACCCATTATCGACATTAACATCAAAAAGGAACCGTCGGAACTGATCATAACCAACCGCTACACGCAAATAGCGAAAAAAGCTGTATCTCAAATAACCTTCTAACAAAAGACGCCGTCTCCACTTCGCGGCCCAATTCTATTCTATCTTTAATTTTGTGTGACCTTGCAATTTGGAAATGACGGTTTCTGTGACCCATCAAAGCGAATGTCAATATCCGACCAGGAAAAATGAAAATACTTCAACCAGCCAGGAGGCTTTTAAAGCGACCAGTAGGTAGAGTAAAGGGGCATTTTTTTTCAAACATATCATATCAACAAAGCTCTATACGTGCATACCTTAACTTGACACCCGAATATCTTGCGCAACCTCTTAATTGATCGTTAATTATTTTTGGCGAAAATTCATTCGAGGCTTCTTCGTGTTCACAACGTGCTTACCGAACAAATGCTTTTATTTAAGTCAAGCTTGCCCTAATGCACGTACAAAGAGCCAACACGACACCTACTGTCACACTATCACAACTGCGTAAGAGGAAACGTCAAAGTCCTTAATTGCAAGTGCTTATTTTCGTACCCACAGGGCTTAATGAACTAACTGACTGACTTGTTACTTGTAATCTTGCATTCCATCTGAGACTTAAGAGGGCTTCGTCCATGAAGATATCAAAAAAAAGAACAAACAGAATTTCTGTCCCAGAAACAATTTCTAGAAATGCTGCATTATAGCTGGGCGTAACAATATTGCAATAACTAACAGTCATCTGTCAAAGGGTGAAAATTATCTGCACGTGATCTATGATAGAACGAAACAATCTTGACAAAACAGCCGGAGTAGCCTCTTTGTTACATTCTTTATCGTTAGCTTTCTAGACTGTTTCGCTCGAAACGCACTTTTAGGTGTAATGACTCCTGATACTAACGTTATGGCATGTTTATTCGTTTGTTGTTGCACTGATGAATAAGTAACAACTTGCGCGGCTATTTAAGACACTCCATCAAATGCTTCTGAACGCACGTAAATAACATACTTGTTCCAAGACCAAAGACCGCCTAATCTTTCCCCCTCCAGCCTTACCTTCTTGTTTTCGCGTTTACTATTTCGCTTCAGCTCGAGATGAGTGATTCAAGAGAATCAAAAGAGCAATAGGAAACCTGTTAACATCCAATATCTCGTAACTTTTTCCTTGAGCCAAAATTTCTTCAGTCTACAAATAGTCTTGGATTCGAATGAATTACCAAAAAAACCTGATGTTTAGATGTAAAACCCTTAATACATAATAAAAACCATCAGTGATAAACTCTAATTAACACGACTAACGCACAACCTTGTGTCAAATCGTAGAGTATACCGTGTGTGTGCAGTATAGCCGTTGCCCTCCGAAGATAATGCTTTCGACAAATTAGCAGCGGATGTTGTGAAAGAAAGCTGATCAATATAGAATGAAATTAATTCTTACCTTTCCTTGTTACGGGCAAATGTCCAAAATCATGATATCATTTCCTCGTCCGTTCACTCTAACGAAACAAAAATATACTAGTCAAACCAGCCAAAAATAATAATAATTTAAGAAAACGAAGAGAAGGCCATTACGACTGGTATACAGCATTATGGCTGATTTTACATCCAACATCATCAATATGGCTGAATTTGAAACAGGAAGACGACTAGGTGACCGATTTTGAGAACACCTTCGCGACGTAGAAAGAAATGACAAGGACGCATCAAACCAGTCGCTAGGCAATTTAATCTCCCTTACCATTCTAAACAGCATAGGGTTTAAAGAATAACGTCCGAAACGTCAGCTTTTAAACTCTTTACGGTGGTTAGTTTACGTTTTCAACTCAGTTGTTAACACTTCATTACCTATTAAACTCTCCCAACGACGCAGCACCACAGTTTCTTCAGAAACTCACTTCCTTTAAGCAGCATATGGCAGTTTGCAGCCCTTCTCTACATCTAGGCAGTTCGGAAAGCCGCAAAACTCTAGAACAAAAATTTATCTTTCAAATAGGCACTCTTAATCCCCTTGGTATCAACGAGCGCTTTTCATTCAACCGTACGTAATTCTTAATGATAAAGCAGGATGCTCCGCTGTGATTGGTTGTTTTTTTTCCCAGCTGTAATTGGCGCGTTTCGATGCTCAAAGTTAAACAGCCGCCTAGAATCTACGGTTTACCGAAGATCCGCAAGGCCGACGTACCCTTAATATCTATTGTGTCATGCGTTAACACCTTCTCATATGAACTGTCCGCCTACCTAGCTAACATCTTGTCTCCTTTAGCGCGTAAGCAACCCTGAGCAGTGAGGCGATCCTTGACGACGCGATCATGGTGTCTTTCAACGTAGAGTTCCTCTTTACCAATGTTCCTATCAAAGGCGCTGTACAGGCCACGATGCAGAAACTGGAGAACGACTCTAGCCACCCAGACCGCACGGCGCTAACACCTACTCAAATCGCCGACCTTCGGAATGTCGTTTTGAGATCCACATACTTCCAGTAGAATGGATCGATTTACAAACAACAAGAAGGCGCAGCCATGGGAAGCCCAGTTTCCTCTATTATTGCTAACTTCCACATGGAGAGTTTTGAAGAACTCATCATCCTACATGCAAAGGATCTGGAGACGCTACGTAGACGACATCTTCACCATCCCGGATCGTGGAAACGTCAATAACTCCTGACAGCCGCCTCGCCACCGGCGTACATAGGAAGCCTACATACACTGATCAGTACTTGGCATATGTTTCACACCACCCACAATCAGTAACACGTGGTATTGTGGGTGGTGTGAAACATAACATCAGCCCCTCTGAAAGCTAGCTTGCGCGGAATCACAATGCATGAATGGCGTTCACGCGATGTGGAATTGGTTTCAGGACCAACTTAGCAAAGACTTATCATACTTGCGTTGCGAATAATGAAGACAAACTTACTACTTTATGCTAGCAAATAGGTTCTTTACACTGTCGCGCTATCGCAGCTTCCATCGACTCCTGACATTGGATTATGAAACTTGTTGTACTGTGCCACCTGCAGACCTACCGCACCCGTTCGGCTCCTACTTAAGATCTATTAGAGGACAGACGTATAGATGACCTCACCATAAACAAAATTTTTCCTTTTTAATTATCACATAAATCAAATAGATTCCATGTTACCGTGAGCTAGACACAATAAATCACATAAGACGTCAATATGTGGTTAGAAGAGCAGTGACACACTCGGCTGCGCATTGTGTGTCACTTTTTTGTTCTTTCCCCATTTGGACGTCATTTTTTATCTATCTCTAAAAAGACGCACGCAACATAGAATCCATTTTTCAATTAGACAGTTATCAACCAATTCCAACATGTATGTAAAACAGTCGGAAAAAAAAGGTAAAGGAACTACATGTACCTTCAATGTTGTAACAACGGGTGAAATCGCGAAACATAGTAATTGCTTGTCTCAAAGAGATGCATAAGTAGTACTGCCTGTCAACTTCCCGCGACAATTGGTTGATGTAGAACGCTTTTAACCCTTTTCGCCCAAACATCAGTACACATATTCTCCACACTGTTCCTTATACATCTCCTAAGGTTCTGACAAGTAAAAATTGTTTGCCAATCAAAATATTCCTTCCCTGGTGACCATTTCCTTTCTTCTCATGAACTTAAGGTGTGATTCAGGAGTGATATTGTAGGGAGAAATTATATGCTAGTCACTGTTAGGGTTTAAAGGGTTAATTCAAGCTTTTTATTCAAATATTTTTCGCCATCCTGAAGAGTTCAATCTTTGCCAAAATTCAACATCTTTGTTGGCAGAGAGACCCACATAACATTGCATATCATCAATGTAAGTGATTTAGTCGATACTAATTAGGATCATCATCACAGGAAAAAAAAGTTTGCGGATGATGAGAATTACGACACAAAGTGATAACAGAGTGATAACAACTGCTCGTAGCAACTCTGATAATGACTAGATAGACCAATTTACTGACATAAAAGAAATATGAGTTAAGATTTCAAAACTGAAATTTCTTATCCACTTAGAAAAAAAAATTACATGCAATGATCCCAACACATTTCCTGTTAATGACAAGTGTGAGGCCATAACCTCTTGAGACGAGCATTTCCAAATACTTTAAAGTAGATTTTACTTTAAGGTAACTCGTAAATGCTCCCCCATTTTAAGACTGGAACATTAAATGAAAGAGACGGCAAAATTCCATTTTCCAATGATCGTTACTTCGCATGTGCTTAAATTGGCTGGAGAGTATTTTTTCTTCACAATCTATCTAGAAAATGAAACTAACGCAAACGATAGAGTTCATTAAGACCCTCTTCTTCATTATACATTAATTCTGCCTTCGTTTCACGATGAAATTCCCAGGTAAAAATATCAAATAGAATAAAGTCGATGAAGCAGCACCTCAATATTCTACAACAACCACAGGAAAGAGCAACGACACGGCTCAGCAAAACGTCATTGCACCGTGTAACCATTAAGTTACGACGGCAAATTAAAACGGCCTTCGTAGAAAAGTCAAACACTCTTAGAGGGTCATGGGAAAACGTGACTTCCCACATACTGCCCCTGTAAAACATACTCAATTCTTGACTGCGGCTCAAGGAATTTCATCGACCCAAATAATTGAATTTGTTATCAATTTTCGGCCAAAAAAAATTTGAGGCATGGTACTTCCATTCTCTGTCCGCAACAGAATTATTTTAGGATTTAACGAGAAATAAGGGCTCTGTAAATACTTACAATCTTCTATGTCCCTCCTGGTTTTATTATGAAACGGTTTAAAAAGGTATGAGGGCAACCACATGAAGCCGACTATACAGCGAACCGTCGTTTTGAGATCTGTTTTTTCCTCTCCAAAACCTATGCGGAAAAATAAACTTAAACTTAAAGCATATAATTTCAGTTTCAAAACTCGAAAACCACCCCTTTCGAGTTCAAGTTTGGGAAAAGACCAAGTCTGTTTGAGATCTGACTTATCCTATCCGGTCCATTACATATTTAACCTATCAAGTTGCATAATTTGCAGTTCACTAGGTGTGTGAACTTGCAACACTCAAATGGCATGAAGCAACACAAACAATCTCCCACCGCTGTATTAGCTGATCTTCGAAAGAAATTAAGGCGTTAACTTTTAATACATCCAGGTGGAATGAATCGTCCTTCCAAGTTGCTCCAAGAAATGAACAGATTCATCGTGCAAGATTTAACACACTTCACAAGCATTCTCGTATTTTGTGGGTTAAAATTATTACAACTGGGTTTCTAAACTGCCCACTCTATCATTTTATAGTACAGAGTTTTTGGATGATCTGCTGTTTAAACTTTTGCATCCGGTGATTTCATTTTTAAAGCTATGGCGTTATGAAAGGATTGTAAAAAAATATGAGATGATACAGCCTCTCCTCCCGCGGGAAACATCCAACCTTTCCGATTTATCATGCCTCTTAAATAGATCAGATCCTGACTGAAGCAAGACCTTCAACCAGGCCTCCCGCCTATAAGCGGCCAGAGGTTTAGGCCTAACGCAGTCTGTGACCACAAAAAAACAAAGACAAATGGAAATCATTTGCCACGATAATGGATTATCAAATAGAATACAGATCGAAGCCGCCACAATCACGCGAGGTTAATTAAGTTATAAAAATGCCAATCACGAAATCAACCAAGGGTTCAAAACTTGTAATTATCGTTTATGCTTTGTGAATTATACAGTCAATAGCATGCATTTCCACAACGATGCAAAGCTAATCCTACATCGAAAGTTTAACTGTAACTTTTGCCTTATCTTTCTCAAAGGCTACCACAGGTAACTTGGCATCTTTCAAAACAATGACGTTCAGTCTTGCTTCATAAGTTCACCTAACAGGAGGATGCATCGCGGTATGTTGTTCAGGATAACTTTTCAAGAAGGGAGGAAAGGGGCCAAGTTTGGACTCAATTTTAGATTGACAAGGTTTAAAAACTGCCTACTTTGTGTACTTGTGCACAAAGCATAATATAACTGGGCGACGCTTGAACATAAATGGTTGGCCGGTTCCCAACTAAAATTGAAATGGTGCATCATAGAGCTTAAAATATCCCAGCGTTCGTTCCCAAATCGTGCCAGATGAACATTATCATTCTGAACCATATCATCTTGTGAGAATTTACACTGGAGAAAGGGAGGGGGCCTATCATCTCTAACAGATCAGACAATATCCTGTTGCATCATCCCAACGGATGACGCTTGCGCTATTGCATCATTCCAGTGGATACACAAAGGCAACATCGTTCAATACATCCATTTAGTCACTCAAGAACACTGATTGGCTCGCTACTGTATTGAGTCCGAACGTATTTAAAAACCTCATAGTGTGAGGTACACAGCCTGCGTTTCGCAGTGTTACAAGAGGCATACTAAAGAAGAACTGAACAAACAAAAGTGAGAGGCTTGATCTGAAGTTCTTCTTTGAGGTCAAAATTGACAGCTAAAGTGGTCATACAATCCTTAGAAATATACTGCGTAATCAGAGCTTGAGCTACAATTAGTGCCTGTGAAATTCAAGAAAGTTAAGCTATCACGTTTCTCTCTTACGTCCACAAATATCAAATGCCAGCGAACTCTCGCATAACTGCGTTTGTCGAAGGAATAATTGGCTTTACGCTTGCTTTACGGACAACTCAAGGATGTAGAAAGTATCAGTGATTACAAGCAGGCGGCTATAAGGTCCTAACTTGAACAGTAACTACCGTAGGGAAAAGAACAGTTTATCACAACCAAAAGAACAAATAAGAAATGACTAACAAAGACGAAGGTTTCTACAAATTATCAGAGGATTCAGCGCACCATAAGGTTTTTCAAGATGTTACCTTCAACCCACAACAGGAATAATAATAACCGAAACGTTTCGGTGGGAACAGAAAAGCTATTAAAGAAGAGAGTAATGAACGCTTTCAATTGGAATATTATGTCACAACCATAACGCTTGTTCACCCTACCCATAATTATTTCTCACGTGGCGAACAATGACGTCAGACATCAACAACCAGCGTACCCGCAACACACCAGTTCTGGATACATCATTCGCAAGCGAAACGTTATGACATCATTCAAATAAGTTGTCAGAGGTTTCAGAAAGGGCAGACGAAGCAGCTTTCTCTGTTGCTCCGTCGAAAGTGGTCTAGAAGACGGAGTTCTGATAAAAGAACAAAAATTGCCTTGAGAAGAAACTCGAACTACTTCCTTTGACACCGATGTCAACACTTTTGCATTACTTTTCGGGAAATTGTTCAGTCTAGAGGATACGAAAATCATGCAAACAACCAGAAAACAAGAAGGTGAGTGTACTGAGTCAGTCAAAATAACATGAAATATTCTCCAATTTTTATTTACGAACAGCGAAGATTGCACTGAACTGTACGATTGAATTTGGACTTCATTGATTCGAACATCACGTAGGTCCCCTCTTGATCTTGTTCATTCAGTTGCTTTTAATTTCACTGTTCAAGTTAAATTTACTCGTCATCCTTCAAAGAAAGTCCTTCAGGTATCTACATGTTTCAAAGTTACGAGATTTCTTCAAATCGTTAATGTCGCACGCTGCTAATCAAATATATTTATCGAACTTTATCACAACCAGTTAAATAAAGGAAACAACTGGGCTCTACTCCGCGAAGTATGCGAGCTGATCAACCCTGAAATAAGCTACCTCAATCTGAACTACCAAAAGCGAATGGAATCGCTGACAACAAGGTATGGTCAAACAATTTCTGCTTATTGTGATTAGCATGCACTCATGCGAAACATTCTTCCGGAGTACAACTTACTCACTCATCCAGTTGAACACGAATGAGAATGTTTTAATCAATAACATACAAAATACTATACGGAACCATCGAAATACCCATCATTACACTGCAGTGGAAATTGCTTACAATTTTTACCTTTGTGTTGTGCCAGTGTATGATTGTGTGTGCAGTAAACAGTACTGGCCGTGCTAAATCTATTAACACGATTGTGGATCAAAACGCGCACAGTCACGTGATGTATGTTTCACAAGTTTAAAAATTATACTGTGTTGCTTTATTGATATTGTGCAATGATCTAGAATGTACCACTTTAGTTCACAGCATGTTGCATAGTGGCAATATTGGTGATTTCAGGCATAGTTTTGTTAGCGTTTTTGTTCTTTTTGTTGTATCAAACCCCTGCAATACAGTCACAATTATTTCAAATTCATAAATATCTCGTGATTAATTTAGATAGTACTTCAAATTTGTAAGTACCTCTAACAGGTGTGTAACCAATATTTCTGATATTCTCTTCGTCAGACAAAATAAGGAAATAAGGAATCAAACACTGAAAACTCTAAATTGGGTAAGTAATTGTCGTGTATGTTGGGACATTTTATACGTTGTAGACACGCTGTTACTTGGGTGGAAGATAACTTTACACAATACTGCCACTTTCAAAAAGGCCCGAAAACATAAGGAAAGACAAGACGATCAAGTAGGTAAAATGAACCCAGAAGATATACCAATGTCTGATTAACCATTGCTAAAACGATTACGATAGACGTTAATCATAACGTATATATAAACCTATATCACAAAACAATTGACTGGCAAGATAGGATTAGTAAATCAGCACCTCTATGTTAGTCCAGACAGGTAAGTAAAACCACATTTCTTTCATCGGGCATTCATGAAAGTGAGGCCATTCAACTGTACACCTGGTTTCAGTTACGTTTAACTTGGCATCAGTTCACACAATTGGTTCAAGTTTTGAGGGAGCCATTGCTTTATCTGAATTGTATCGATATGATCATTTTTTGAGCTTGTGAGCATCTTGTCACTCAAGGATTTTTCAATCTCAAATCCCACAAAAATGTGACTGAAAGAGCCATTTTCATATTAGGAAACACTTGCTTGTTCAATTACTTGGCAAAAGCCAGACAGTGAGCCTGGTTATAAATTTATATTTTCTGCCCTTTTTTTCCTGGCAGGAATACCCAGATGAAGCAGAATATACGTGCATTACGAAAACTCTTGAACAGCAAAAAGAGCTACTTAAGGTAGGTATCAAAATAAATAAGTAGTAATTACATCTAATCCTCAAACAAACTTCAGAAAATAATAACTAAATTAACGCATTTCTTTCCTTTTTTCTGCAGCATATGTATCGCGAGGAAGAAGACATCTCTCAACAAGAACTTCTGGTACAACTTTTACGCAAGATCTGGAAATATATTCAGTTGTCTAACTTTTCGAGGATGGAGTTATCCTCCAGGTAAATTATATTAATTCATTTTCATGGAAATATTTTACATATGTTGAATGATATAATCAAGTCCTTTTCTCGTGAAATTCCGTGGACGTTATTACACTGAGTGGCCAACATTTTGCTTTATTTTTTTAAATTTAGTTGCAACGTCAACAAGAGTGGAGACTATTTTTTTGGTAAGAACAATCAAATATTTAAAATAAGTACCACACAATGTAGTAGGAACAGATCAACTTTCATTTGTCCCATTTCATAGATATTTGTTGCTGCTTTGTTGGTCACACACTACTAGGCAGAACTGAATAAATCCTCAAAACTTTAGTCTATTAATCAGGAGTCTTATGTCTTCTCCAAGTACAATATACTGTCAAATTAATACAACTAAGTAAGTCTCATGATGCATACGGCTCATGCTACAACTCATTAACAACCGTTGTCTAACAGAGAAACAGGATCAAGTAAATTCAAAAGCTGATCTTGAACCATTCAATTTATATTACCTGTAACCAAACTAGGGAGACGAGATTGATACCTTCCAGCAACAAGTCGAGAAGTTAATATCCTTCTTGAAGAACGAAATGGCTGAATTTAACACACAGGTCTCAGACCATTCAAGGTAATTCATAGAGTCTCGTTATCATTGACCCAAAAGATAAGATTCTTCAGAGAATAATGTTTTATAGATAATATCAACCGCATCTTGCATGCAGGGGTATTCATCTAATATAAAAATGTTCCTGATAACTGAAAACTTCCTCACCTCAGACCATCAGAAGTCCCCTGGAATTATTGATAATCATCATCCCTAAGAATATCTGCATTAAATAACACTGTTTGATAGTTGTGACCGCCCTTGAGGATCTGTGTTAGACAATGGTTGTAAATGGGAAAGTAAAGAGCACAAGGCAGGACTAGAGGCAAATATTGCCCACACAGTCAGACTCTAAAAGATCTGGGTGAACAGTCTGGGTCAATAATCAACACCAAGCCTGGTGTTACCTTAATTGTGACCACATTTAATGCTTACTTGATCCCCTGAGGGAAAAGGTGGTTTTAAGAAGAAAACATGATAATGAGCTTGGAACTTAGCTGCCACCTTTCTAATTTTGTGACCTTCCCGAACACATCTCCTTTACGTATCTCAAGGTTCAAGGGCTGGGGAGCCAATCCTGTCATTGCTACTTCCTATGCTTTTCAATTGTCGTGCTCACCCATGCAAGTAGCTATGGAAGAACCTGGCCATCAACTCTCATTCATGTCCTCTGCTTAGTTAGCAAATGCAAAAAGTAAATTCATTCACGCCTAAATCGTAAAAACAGCTAGAAACGTAGACACGTAGAAGAGAAAGCAGATCCCTATTACAAAGTATTATTATGGCTCTTGCCTTGTCAACTACAATGTCAATGATAATTAGGCACAATCATTGTCAATGTATGCTCATCAATCAAGAATTTGCACAAGAACATAATCACATTCCCTATAGAGACATCCTTATTCTATTAGGGGGTCCAAGATAGTGCGAATGTAAATTTCTTAAAACTAGATATACTGGGGACTTCTTTCATAAAGACATTTATTAGCAGCCTTCTTTAGTGCTAATCGGATAACCCCATCCCAACGCTCAAAAAACTTTCATCCTCTCCAATAAAAAATTTCTGGAAGATTTGCAGTTTGGAAAATGCCATGGTCGTATCGAAATTCTTTTTCAAAAACTGCTTCTGCTTGTCTATATGGGAAGAATCACTCAGCCAAAAAGTCGGTTTGGGGATATCGGGTGAGGCGATTCCATCACGACAGCACTTTACTGTTAAATTTCTCTTAAAAAGTAATATCCATCTTCCCTCATTTCAAATAAGCACACATGTTGATTGAAAGTTGTCTCAGAAGTTCATCTTGATAAAGCATCATTTCTTTTCTCGGCGAGGGTCTTTCGTATCGATTTAATGAATTACAGCACATAAGCAGTAAATGTAACCTTCGTTTGGTGAGCCTTAATTTAAGATGAGTTTTTGACTATCATAGCACTCGCAACAACTCTTTTCCACCATATCTTCTCTCCACAGAAATAACGAGGAAAGCCTACTTCAAGAGTTTAGCTCGTCTTATACACAACAGGTTAGTTTGTTTCTTATGACTAAATGCATGAGCACACACAGTTCGCTTTTAGATTTTCACCAGTGTCAATGAAAGCAAATGCTATAGTACTAAAATAAATTAACGAGAAAACACAACTAATCCAGATTTCAGCTACATGTTCATTACAAAATTTATAATGTGAATATGAACAGCTCTTACCATAAGAATTGACATGCACTGTTAATGACAGCACTGACAACGACGAGCACATTATCGAAGAAATTAATCAATACCTGCAGGTGAAAAAAAAACCAATTTCACATCTTTTTTATTAATAGCTGTCATATTTTATATTCATGATGCAAGCATACTTTATTTGCCAGTGAGAGTTCCACCAGTCTTAAAATAAGGGAAACGTGAAGCTAAAAAATTGTTTACTGGGATGATGACAACCCTTTTCTTTCACGTATCAAAAGACGGTTCTTGTTTTCTCCACAGGAATTGTAAAAGAACCCCACAAGAACTAAAAAAAGAACATCACAGTTTTTTTTTAATAGAGTTCAGATGTCCCTAAGTTTAATGACATAAATCTTACTCTAGTCTACTAACTTCTTTACCACACGTAGATCCCTTCGCTTTTCACTACCTCAAACAATTTTGGAGGGCAGACTCGGCAAAGGATTTGTGCATTCGGGTAAAAGGGATCTTTTTAACTCAGATATAAGGAAGTTTATATATTTATCATCGTAAATGAAGACAACTTTGCTAGACCACTGTTCGTCTTCTTTGGCGCTTTTCAACCCCAGTGGTTGCCACACTAAGATCGCTGATACCGCTGAAAGTGGCATATTTAAGCTGAAAACACGCAGACGGAAAAACCAACCAATTTTACTTCACGTTTTTCTGCAATCAAGTGGATGTTCGCGATGTAGCGCGAAAACCGTTTCATTTGACGTTTTCAAAGGAAAAACAATCACAACTTATCTAAAGGTAAATATTTTACCATGACAAATCCCCCTTACACTCGGAGGTCAAGTAAATTGAACAGAGGTCCTTTCAGAACTAAAAGCGAGTTCCAAAATGGGACTTCGATTTTCTTCCTACCGCAATTTTTTCCTACGCGATAAGATTTTGAAACTAGCTCATGTGTCATTTGAAGAAAACCAAATGTTTACATTTCTTAAAAATCCGCAGAGTGAGAAAGAATTCAAAACCACATCCTTCGGGGTCAACGTATCAAATCGAACATGTTTTAGCTATTTGCACGAGCGTTGTAAGGACTAGGAGTATTCTTTAAGGTACACCCGGTTTGTGGATGTAACGTTGAGAGCAACAAATCTGTATTTACGATCTTAGCACAAGTATTTCTAAATTCACAAACAGATAAGAATACAGGAAAGGTGAACAGCTTGTTGTGTGTGTGTGTGTTGTATCGAACCTGTTGAGAATGCACCAAGAGCTACAGTTTGAAAGGGTTGTGATATTATCGTATTCCCTAAATCCCCGTAAAATATAGCAGATACCAATACCTTCAAAAAATGTACAAGAAAAGGATCTTCAAGTTACTGCATCAAAATGCTTGTTTGCGTTACAGCACGCCGTATTATGCGCAAAAATGCTACTAATTTCCTTCAGGAAATAGTGGTACGCCACCATTACGGTAGCGATAATGCCTTAATTCTAAATAAAAGTTGAAACTAATTTTGGTAGGAAACCAAGAGGCTATTCAAATATACTATTCTTGTGTTATTCTGAAAGGAATGACTGGATGGATATTGAGGCTCATGCATTTATAAACTTCCGAAACTAATTTATCGAGTAAAGACTAATCACGACTACATGCTTGATAAACATATACCTATGACCGATACTTGCCAACTTCTAATTCACAGTTTCCTAGAATAACCACCGTTACCCACAATATAAGACAACGAACATGACTTCACCAGCTTGTTGTCTTACCCAGTTGTATCCTATGGTGAACTTCGCGCCAATCTAAGTTCCCTAATCATGTAAATAACAAGATAGCATATCACAAATTCCCACTGAAACAATACCCAAGAAGAGAGAGAGAGAGAGAGAGAGGGAGAGGGTAAAAGATCGGGGGGGAGGGGGGGGGAGGGCATCGCCCATATGCTAAAAAGGATATGAACTGTTCGTTTGGCTTGAAATAAAAAGTACATTACTCTCTGACCTACATGTAGGTCTTACATTTCAATTAGCAAATTCAATGTTCGTTTCTAGATGTTGCTTGATTTGTAAATGGCCATCAAAAAAATTCACTCCGACTATCAGATGGGGTTAAGGGGTCCCAGACGGTTACTACTTTCAAGCAAAACAGGAGATGTATTCATTCAATGACACCACGTGAAGAAGTAACCAACGAGTTACCTAATCGAACTTCATTCTAAGATGAGGACTGGCGCAACGCTTTTGTTTTATTCATAACTAAATAACCTAAATCGAACGGCTTGTGACAAGGTTAACCCTGTGAAGAGTATTCCCTTTACCTTCATTATCCTTCTCCGACATCAACACCGTCATCGCGAGGTCAATTTTAAAAATCTCTATCGTCAATGTTTATGACAACATAAGCTGTCTCTATTGCGCTCTATGCAACGTGGAGCGCAAACAATGGACGAGAATATGCAGCATGAGAAAGTGCAGCACTAAAGAGGCCTCCGTGTTTTCCTTTTAGCGCGTTCGCACCCGTTATCGTCTATAGAGTGTTTTCACGGCCTTGGGCTCTCACAGGAAATGCATCTTTGTCCACGATAAAATTATCACCACCGGGTGGACATCAACCACTGACTTTAAATGGCGTTGACATGGGTGTCACTCAATTAACACCAAAAGAGAAACGGCGAAATTTAACATAACCCACCACAAAATGCAACCGGCATAAAAAGTTGTTTACCAATTTTCCCTCTTACAAAAGACCCCGTTTCCTGACCATAACGAAACACAATTCTATTCTTATCTCTAACTTAGAATAATCTTATCGTTTAATCGCCCCAGCTAGCAGCACTATTAGGGCGGGAATCAAATATCCGACAAGGAAAAATGAAAATATTTTTCAACTAGCCAGGAGGCGTTTTAGGCAATCAGTTGGTACGAGATGGGGCATCACCATTCAAACATATCGTATACATCCACAATATCCTCCTAGTTACATTCTTTAACATCAGTGATCCACGGCTTTCCAGGACGATTTCGCTCAAAATACCTAACTTGAAGGCTATCTATCTCTCAGAGAGTCAGTGACTTATGCTAGCACCATTCGCAACAAGAAATGTTCAGGAAACATGCATAAAACGGAAACGTTTCTCATAACAAACACGGCTCATAACGCTAAGTAAAAACGTTTACTGGTGTAGTTCGAGTACATTCACAAATTCCCTTTATTTTGTTCATCCTACATTTCAACCTACCCTTCAACAAAGACTACAATCCATCAGGCCCTCAAAACTGCTAGCTTACGCTGAATCACTGGCAATGCATGAATGGCAGGCACGCGATGTGGAATTGCCGGATTGAGAACCAACTTATCAAATTCTTATCATGATTGCGTTGCGAATACGACTTTTGAAGGCAAACTTACTACCTTATGCTAGCGTATAGGCTCTTCGTACCGTCGCGCTATCGTCGCTATCAAACCTTGGTCACTGGGTTGCAAAAGTTGTTGTGATGTAACTTGACGTTTTTCCCGTCAACAGTACACTTTTAGCACCCGTTCACTTTTCACAAGCTGTTTATCAGACAGTAATCGATCACAAGACATCAATGCATGGTAAGAAGATCAGTTACACACTTACCTGCGCCTCGTGCGCCACTTTTTTGTTTGTTCCATATTTGGACGTCGTTTTTGATCTATCACTGGACAGACGCACGGCAACAACGAATCCGTTTTTCAATTGGACTACTATCAACCAATTCCAACCTGTATGTAAAACAGTCGGAAAAAAAAACATGTAACTTCAATGTTGCAACAACGGGTGAAATCGCGAAACACGAGGTCATTGCTTGTCTCAAAGTAAAGCATAAGTAGTACTGCCCATCAACTTCCCGCGACAATTGGTTTACCATAGAGCGCTTTTAACACTTTACACTCTTACATCAGTATGCACATTCTCCACACTGTTCTTTATACATTTCCTAAGGTGCTGACGAGGAGAATTTGTTTGCCAATCAAAGGGTTCCATCATCCATCACTAGTGACCGTTTCCTTTATTCTCATGACCTTAATGGGTGATTCATGAGTGATATTGTAGGGAAAAATTCGCCCTTCCAGGGTTCTCCTTCTCAGGCGGTAAGCGGTAAAATAATAAGTGCTTGTAAGAGCACTTATTTCCGCCTTCAAACGCTTAGAACCCTTGAAAAATGCGCATTTATGGTGAGCTAATCTGGTAAGTGTGTAATAACAAGCGAACAGTGTGCACTATCATAGATCTATGAGATCTACGTGTGCTTTAGTAAGTTAACACTGATTGGTACCTTTCGAATTTCGAAGCGAGAGTGAGTTTCCTCGGGCTTTCTGCTAAACCTTATGACGTTTGTCAGTTCTCTGCACGTGCAAATGTGGTGTCGTTTAGTTGTTCAGTTTCCACAATGAAACGGCAGCAAACCGTAACAAGAGGTCACGAAGAGTAGCTGGAAGCTTTACAAGAATTTTAGGGGTAAACAAATTCGATTTTTCGAGACACTTCTTTTCGATAAAACAACCAGAAAGTGGCACTTTTCAAAGTGTATTGTAAGACCCTTCGTCATGACATTGAAACTGGCACAATGTCCAGCCTTGATCTGGCTCCTAGGCTGACTTTACCTTTCATATTTCCTTCCACCCGAAGGAGCATAAATGGATAATGATGAAATGTTTAACAGACCTGATGAAAGTTGCACAGTTGCTTTGTGGTGTAGGAAGTGAACAGAGGTAAGCCGCTGTTTATATTAGAGAAAGTATAACCCGGAATAACTTTGGCTTCTATGCATTATACATGAAAGTTAAATGTAACAACCATACTCAAAAGACCTAAATTCCTCTTGGCTGCCACTCTTTAAGGCTTGCAGAGAGCAATATAATTTTGTCGCGTAATAAAATTATTACCCTTTTATATATTTCGTAGGGCAAATAATTTTTTCCAGACGAAGATATATGTGAATTGTATCAAGTTTTAGTACATCTAGTACCCAAGTAGTATTTTAGTAAAAACAGGGAAACAATTCAGCACCTTAATTGGAAAACCTTGAATTGCAGAGCACATAAGTACGTGAAAATGTACATGTATTAGTATCTTCATTTGTGAATTCATGAAAAATGATGTATTTCCAAACAAGTTCTTGTGATTGACATACAGCCATCCTTGACATTCTTCCTCTTTAAATCAAACCTCAACATCTTCCCTTACCCTTAACCTCCCAAGATCTGATTGTTAATTCTCCCCTCTTTCAGATACAAAATTCCTTGTAAATTAGTTATGAGAATTGGGTGTGAGATTAAGAACACAACTTTAACCTGATAAGTTTGAGTATTCTCATAAACTGTTTGCTGGAAAATGTATAAGTATTATAGGGAGAAGTTACATGTTAGTCACTTCTGGGAGTTAAAGGATTAAAATGCTTATGCCTGAAGAGGTAATTATGGAATTAAAACAACATTGGTTTCATCTTTCTGAAATAATACTGTAAGAACAATCTAACACCACTCATGTTGAATAATCCATATTAACTGACATCTAGACCTAATATGTTACAAAATAATCTTAACCAAATACTCTACTTCAAGTTGCCAAAGTATATGGTGTAAAAACTTTTTAACCCTTTATATTTAACTCCCAAGATCTGATTGCTAATTCTTCACTCTTGCTGCCACACTTTTCCTTGAAAATTGGTTGTGATAATTTAGTGTTCAATCAAAGTAATATCATGTACTTGATGAGTTTGAGTATTCTCACTACCTGTTTGCTGGATGATGTATGGACATTATAGGGAGAAGTTACATGTTAATCACTTCAAGGAGTGAAAAGGTTGATTAATCATGGAAAACATAAAAAAAATAAAAACACATTAAGCTATAACCCTTTAACCCTAAAAGTGACTACCATCTAATTTCTCCTTACAATATCATCCCTGAATCAAGCATTAAGGTCACAGGAATACACATAATAATCACCAACTAAAGAGGATTTTGATTATTGAACAAATTCTCCTTATCAGCACCTTACAAGGTGTATAGGGAACTGTATGGAGAATATGCATATTGATGTTAACATGATAAGGGATAAGAAAAATTTAGCATTTTTATCACTAGGCAAAATAACAATTAACAAAACCAAATGATGGTGAAAACAAAAAAACACTAATTCAGGTATTTGTGTCCTGTATTGCCAGATTATAGCCCCAGAAAATAGCCACTTTTCTGTGTGGTCATGAACCTTATCCTTCAGAATTTCAAAAGCCCAAAAACCCCCTTTATTTTCTAAAAAAACTTCCTCAGTATTTTAGCTTCCAACACAAACTGTGTACCCAGTGTAAAGAATAGTCTAGAATATTTCATGAACTGCATACTATTATAGCTATCATAGAAAGGGATACAGAAAGTGTTGCATTTCTCTCATGGGGCAAAATATTGCACACCATCATTGTACACCATCAGAACTATATATTAGAGGAATTGGAAAAATGTTTCATTTATATCTCAGGAATTGGTTTCAATCACAAATTGTGAGTCCAGTGTACAGAATAGTCCAGAATAGTTTTAAAATTGCACACTTTCATAACTATCATATAAGGGGTTAAGAAAAATATTATTAATAACTATTTTGCAGTGCCACAGTGTGGGTTAAGTTCCATATTGTGTGAATTATTGATAGGGAAAAAAATAAATTCAAACTATTAAGGCTTCATTTGACATGCAAATATGTTTGCATGTTTGTCCATACATTACATGTTTCAAGAGGTGAACTATGAACTTCAAGAAACAGATAATGTCCAAGGGCAAATGTACAAGCATGTTTTCGCACCAAATGGAGGCTTTTGCGTTTATCATCCTTCAAATATTTTTGTAATGTATAGGACAAAAATAGAACAAAATATCTACAAACAACTATATTTGTTTACTGCTTTCAGTCAGTTCTCCATACATCTCTATGAACAAACAAATATGTTCCTTCTTCTGCAACAACATAAGAAATCTCTCCCAACATGAAATAAAGAATAAAACAAAGACTTTAATGGCATTTGACAAGAGTTACTTTAAGCTGGGGCACAGTCAGTTGCATGATGTGTCTAGATCAATCCTGCATTGGATTATAATACAGATTATAAACCATCAAACATTTTAGCTTGCTGATGATTGGTGTAAATGCTCCAAAAACATTATGTGACCATGCAGCTAAAACTGAGGAATATCCAAGGATATACATGTAGCCCAAGTGATATTTCTCAATTCTACCTCAATATTATGTCATTCAAAGATCACATGAGATTGCATCAGCAAGCTTGGCTTTCAGTGCGAGGCTTACCAGTAGATTGTTCTACAAGAGGAAATATGTTTATTGATCTTTAGGCACAGCCCTACACAATGAAGTTTTCTGTACCTTTTAACCGGTGAAATCACCTTTCAATTAGTGAGTCACAGCATGCCAAAAGTGCAGGATGTGAAGAATTGTGTTTTTGGACACTACATACCAATGTTAACAGACAATAAAACTTGTGTTCCAATCAAACTCAAGCTCTGAAGTGGGTACAACTAAAAGCTCTGAAACCAAGAAGATTAAAACAAGCCATGAAAAGACAAAAAAAGGTCATACAAATGCCTTGGGCAAAATTAGCACTGAATGAAGCTAAGATTGTTAGAGCATTAGTCCCTCCACTGGTTGGAGGACTGCTGAAATTCTGCTAGAATTACTAGAAAGCCCTAGTTGAGGGCATGATAACAGGATTCAGCCAGATAGCAAAATTGCTTTGCGCTCATACAGGAGAAATCCCCAAGTGTCACAAGTGACATGTGGAGGACAATGAACACAATGCATACTTTTGAGTACAAGTCATCTTCCTGCCAAAATGGCAAATGACCTAAACAGGACACTCTGAGTGATTCAGAACCAAAGAACTAAGAAATTGAATCATTGCTAAATGTTTCCACCATTGAAGATGCAGTGGGTAGTTTTACAGATATTTTGTGTAATAAAGCACAAGATTATAATCTAGAAGTGCAGTGTGGCTTGCCTATGAATAACAAATAAGATGGCCAGAAATTAACTCAACCCTTTAACTCCCACAGGCAGTAAACATATGTACAGTAACTAATCCTTATAATATCAACACATTATCCAGCAAACTGGTATTGAGAATAATCAAACTTATCAGATCCAAGTTTTTTACTTGATTTAACAAATTCTCCCACACAGGGAGAGTGAACAATCAGATCTTGGGATTTTAAGTGTTAATAGTGAGGATGTGCTCAAGGAGAAGCTGAACAAATACTTACATGTAAAGTCTGAAAGCTGTGAGAACTACATGGGAGCTGATGTAAATCCTGAAATATGGCCCAAATAGGACCACAAACAAGGAACCATGATTTTAGGCTGCAAAAAGTTAAGAACATCATTATAGAGGCCATTGTGCCAATCCCTGAGTTGACTGATAAACTTTTGAATGCTAAAGATATGGGGATACCCCTGACACTGGTAAGGCAGTAAAGCAGACACTTGACAATGTTGCTCTTCCTACACATGTGACTGTGATGTCATTCTATGCCCCAGATAACTCCTTGAGCAGATATAAATGAAGTCCTATCACCATATACATTTATGCTCTGAACATGTGGGTTAATTTTACATGCTTTTTTTTAGGGATGACCCATGCCACTAAGAAAATTATGGACATCAATGCCACAATTAGAGTTTGCCAAAAACTATCTGTTCATGAGTCTGAAGGCTCTGCTAGTAGCTGCAGCTGTTTTCATCATGTGAAGAGCGAGCAGAGGTGGTCAAAAAAAGATCACAGACCATCTCTCAGAGTACAGTCTGCCCACAAAGAATATTGAGAAAAAGTTCAGAACCCCAAAAAAAAGGAGAAAGATGTGAATCACAAGTAGATTCAGAAGTCAAGGTTGGTTAATCTAATGCCACAGTAAACACTTAAACTGACTTTGCACAGGTCTGATCATTTAAGGTTTGAAGAAATAAAGAAGGAAGAAATATCTAGTTAGCTAGCAGAAAATAACAAGTGATAACTTAGTGGTATTAGAAATGGTACAAGGTTGTACATTTGAATTCACAAGTATTGCCCTTTACAACCTTTGGTACCAACAGAAAGTTTTCTTTAAAGAATGCCTTGCGATAAACTGACTTGCAGAGACTTTTGGACTAAGGTGTATTTATTTACAATGAACTTGTACCTCATATTTTATCTCATCTATTTTTGGGAAACCAAAGAGCAATGGATTTTTCCGATTGATATTTCATCTGAAAGGCCTTAATAAGCACACTGCCTCTCACCATTTTAAAATGAAGACCCTTGAATCAGTCATACAGCTGATGGAAAAAGATTACTTCATGGCCCCAGCCAATTTGAAAGATGCATATTATAATGTTTCAATATCTATCCATGCTCAGAAGTATTTAAAGTTTACACTGTAAGGTAAACTTATTCAATCCACCTGCCAACCCAATGGTCTGAGCTGTGCAACAAGAATGTTCACAAAATTGCTTGATTGAGATGCCACATATTGGTAAGCTGCATAGATGATACATACTTGCAGTGGAAAAACCTTCGTTGCAGGTAAAAACAACATTACAGAATGATACTGTTTATATCTTCCAAGGTCTTGGTTTTACTATTCATGCACTCAGAAAGATCTGTTTTCACACCAACTAGAAGGCTGACTTTCCTGGGGTTTGTTTTGGACTCTGACAGCTCATGCATATCTCCCTCACTATTGACAAGGCTGATTCCTTAGTGGCAGCTTCACTCTCAAAGAATTCACCAACCATTGGGGAGGTTGGGAGGATGCTGAGGTTATTGGGAGAATGGTTCCAAGCTTCCCAGAGTTGCAGTTTGGGCTACTCTATTATTGTCCTTGTGAGAATGAGGAAATTCATGCCCTCAGAGAAAATCAGAGAAATTTGATAACCCAATCTCATTTCACAGGCTTCTAGTCAATACCTTGTCTGGTGAATTAACAATCTCTATGATAGTTATTAACCAGTCCACATGACTAAACCAGACATAGAGTTAAGTTCAGAAGCCTTGCACCTTTGTTAGGGCGCAGTATATATGCCTTTGGACAAATGCACTCATGGTAGATGGTCTGAAAATGAATCCTTGCAGTACATAAATGTTTTAGAATGAAAAGTTGCCTTTTTTGCCACGAAGATGTTTAGTAAAGGCTTAGAACTGCAACTGCAGTTGCCCATATAAACAACATGGGTGATGTGTAATTTGCCTAAGCCCGAGACATGTGGCTTTGATCTCTTAACAGAAATATTTGGCTCTCTGCAGTCTACCTACATAGTACTCAAAATGTTCAGGCAGACCAAGCATTCCAAATATTTCATGACCAAACAGAGTGGAAGTTAGACAAAACCATGTTTGAAAAGGTTACTGCTAGGCCTACTATGCCAGAAGTTGATAAATTTGTCTCAAGACTGAATTTTCAGGTTGCAAATGCATTTGGTGGAAACCTGACCCTGAGGCATTAACTGTGGATGCTTTTACTCTTGATTGGGCTTCTTATAAATTTTAAGCTTTTCCCCTATTCAGTATTTTGGGCAGGTAAGGTTTAGAAGATTCTACCATACCAGGCAGAAGGAATTTTGTTGATCCCAATTAGCCAGAATAAGCCAACTGCTAAAGCTGCCATACAACAAGGCAGCAATTCCATCCACTGGGAAGCAAGCTAACCCTGCTGGCATGTTATCCAGGAATCCTTTCAAAGCAAAAGAATTTTGCAATGCACTCTCAGTATCATCATGTCACCTGGGCATGATTCAACAAAGAAACAGTAAAGAACATACTTGCAAGAGTGGAAAAGGTTCTGTAGTAGAAGGGTTGCTGATCTACTGTAATATTTCACCAAATGTAAATCAGGTTCTTGAATTCCTTACTGAACTTTATGACAGTAACTGTAGCTACAGTGCCTTAAAGACAGAGAGGAGTTCTTTTTCAGCTATCAACTCATCTTTAAGTTTTCAAATTACAGAAAAAGTCAAACAAACAAGGCCTGAAAAACATCTCTTAAAGTTGACATTCAAAGCCTATGCACCAGATTGCAGGCAGCGTGTTTACACATACATAATGAAATGTTTGGCTGTAATAAAAAAATAGATTTCTGTACATTGTTGCATGAACATTCCGCTTTAAAATCTCATGTGATCTTCAAATGACTGATGGTGAGGTACAATTAAATGACACTTACTTGTAAGTTAAAGTTTGATTTTAATTTTACTGATCCATGGAGATATGAGGAGATTACCTGCCCTCCCTGTTCTCTTTAAGAAAGAAATGGTACTTACTCAGACCCTGTAAAATTATTTTTTGTCCTCTTGCCAGCGATGTTGAAAACTGATAGCTGTCGGAGCTTGCTGATGCAATCTCACATAATCTCCATATGACTCCCTGGATGGATAGAATTACTATCAAACTTCATCTTACAGGTAAGTCTTGTATAAATTTTAAACTTTTAAACACTGCAATAAATCTTTGTTTAAAATTTAATACAAGAGGAGGGAGCATTTTGTGGTTGTTACAGAAGTAGGGACATCTTTGGTTCATTAAGTCTTACCAGAGAAAACCAAAAAATGTACATTCCATACACCAAACAGTAAGCTGTTAATAAACATTAATTTTGTTCCCACATGTTGCAAAATATTTGGAGGATAATAAAGACAGCAGCATCCATTTAGCATGAAAATGTGCTGGTATATTGTCTGTGGTACTGGTAAATTATCTGTTATTCGAAGTTCACAGTTTTCCTCAAGCTTCACTCGCCGGAACATCTTGAAACAAATAATGTCCCCAGACAAATATCTGAATATGTTAACCCTTAAACTCCAATGAGTGACCAAGAAAGAATTTCTCCTTCCAATATCAATACAATATCAAGTAGACAAGTGATGAGAATGAAGAAAAATATCAATTAGGGGATGAAAAGTTGATCTTATATCAAATTCTCCAAACTAACATCACAAGAACTGTAAAGCAGAGAGTAAGGAGAATTACTAAAGAGATCTTGAGAGTTAAGGGGTTAAGCCACATACATGTATTGGCTAATGTTTATTTATTACTTTTTCAGCTCTGAATAAATTGCATCTCTGGTGTTCTGATCATTTTACTCAACTCTGCTCCTAAGCCCATTTTCCAAGTTACCTACTATGGAAATATATTGCCCAAAGTGTTGCCGAGATGAAAATTTGGCTTTTTATAGCTCCAAATATCCAAACATTTAGGATTTAATGAAATTTAATAGAACAATTTTCCATTCACACTTGTTGGATAAGAGATTGGTTATTAACCATCAAATATCCAATGCATGCTCATGGAATGATTGCTCTTTAGTATAATTGCTCAGGTGAATATAGAGATGCGCTTGCTCTGGTTGGTTGAGGATTGTGTCATATCTCACCATTATGACCTCACGAGAGGCGGTTATAGTAGGGTGCTGAATTTAAAAATTACTACCCTGCATTTCAAAAGAAAGGTTTCAACTTTTTGCTGATTGAATCAAATAATCCTGCTACAAATCATGGAAAGAAGAAAGAAAGTCACTTCAGTCACTGCAGCCGAGTTTTGCGGCGCTGTCATCCCGAGCGATCTTCATGTTCCGGTGAATTCGGCTGTCGTTCATTTAAAAGATACTCGCCTTGAACAGTTTGTTTTCTACCTTGTCATGTGAAAAAACTCGCGTTTTTTTTTTTTATGAGCCATAATTCGGCTGAAGTTTACTGAACATTTCACTTCAAGATTCTGTATTAAAAACTTCAGGTAAAGCGTTAAAATCGACCTGCCGAACTATTTTAGTTTGTAAACTATCGCAGATTGTGAACTTTGATGGTTTTTTAACTTTGATGGTTTGACATTTTTGACAGCTTTTGTCTTGTAGAGCCAATCAGATTATTTGAACCATTCTAACAGGGATTCTGATTGGCTTATTGTAGCGTGCTCTATGAGAGTATAGAGCATGCTGACGACATTGTTGTTCGCTTTGGAAATAAAGTTTGTTTTGAAAATTGAAAGTAATGCATGGGGAATTTGACGGATTCTTTATTATAAAACAAATAGAGAAGCCTTGACTGTGCTCTGTTCTGTTATAAAGCACTTAGGAAGCGGCTAGAGCACTCAAGAAGTGGGGAGAAACACTCGACTACGTCTCGTGTTTCTCCCTACACTTCTTTCGTGCTCTAGCCGCTTCCTTCGTGCTTTATAACAGAACAGAACACAGTCAGGGCTTCTCTATCTGTTAAATAGAGTATACAAACGCTACAATCGAATTATACCTTCCAACACCAGTCTATCTATATGCAAATCTCGCAATATCTGATCCCAAACTCGGCTCGATTTTGAGGTTATATTTTATCAAGATACTTACGTTCAAGAAAGTGCAACATCATGACCATCGCTCTGTAGTTAAGCCAGGAAGAACAAATATTCTCCTCTCGACATGCCCGCCATATTGCAGAAATAATCCCAGGCGTTCCTCGGCAAACTGAGGGAGACTAAAAACAAAGCTTCCCGGTAGGCTTATGGATTATGATTGACATATTAAGCTAGTAGCGCGAATAATGCTAAAAATTATGCTCGTTTTTGAGACTATCCTACTTTTTCTTAAAGTATGCTTTTCAAGAAGGAAACACAAAACAAGTCCAAATTGTGTATTTATTATAGACCGGTACCCAGACCTTCCACGGTAGGATCTCGGTACGAGACTATGTTTACTGTTTTAAAAGCGTGATAATTTCGTTATTTGAGTTACAAACTTGCTCTGATAAAACCATAACTAACTATTGCACTTCATTCCTGACCAAAATGTTAAACTGTACGATGTTGGCATCACATTTCTCTTAGGCGCCATTTTGTTGTCTGTGGGGTGAAAGCGGGAACTGGGACTGACGCAATCTTTACCTCTAGTGTGCCCATACGCAATGTACACTTCCGATGTGCCCATTCCTTAACACGACGAAAGACTCAGTATTTTACAATACACGGTAACCTTCATCCTCCAAGACATTGCAAAATTGAAGATAATCAATGCAAGACAATATTTTCTAATTAAAGCGGGATATCTCCAAATTGCAAAGTCAGCCCGTCTTGTTTCCCCCCCCCCCCCCTCCTTAGTTGGCCCTTGGGTAGCCAACCAAAAATTATGAATTACAATCAAACATCGGATCTTGGGCTTCTTTGTCAGGACGACCCACTCTTCTAATTGTAAATTACAGAAACTACTAGTAGCCCTTAATGATACAAAGCTGTCGATTCCAACTGAATAAATAACCTGAGAAAATTTTCCGCTTGAGGTAGATAAGCAGTAGGGACAAAAATCTACTTTAGGTGGAAGTCCGTCGGGTTTAAGCCTAATTACGACGCACGCACCGGCGGGTGTTATGTTTTCATAGAGAATTTGTGATGTTTTATGCCTTCAAGATCTCCAACAGTTCGCAATATGTAATAAAGAATAGTTGGACTGTTGTTTTCTATAGTTTTCATTAGCATAAAAGGTGTTTATTCTTGAGCTTAGACGCAATAAATAAAGGTGCTAACTAGCGGTAATCTGGCCGGCTTTCATTTTGATTTTATTTCCGTATGCTTTAGTAAAATTTATCACATTTCTCACAATATGTAACATTTGTCCTGCCGAATATTTTACAGTTGGAAAAAATGGGACTAAAAATTTAGTTTCTTGGCAACCCAAACACCGGTTATGAATTAGAAGCAAATATTATTTTTTCTGGAATTTTCTCATCAAAGCAGCCATTCTTTTACGGCTTGTATTTGACACAATGAATTTTTGAAATGTCCTGTTTGACGTAAAGGCACAACATATTAGGTTGATTTCCCATATTGGGACAGAAGCGCCTCAAGCTTACGGGGTAATACAAAAGATGTTCCGCTGCCCTAACTTAAAATTCATACCCTTACGGGTTACTTCAGTTACGATTTATCTTGTAGATATGTCCACTAAACGCTCCACTGAACTATGCCCGAAAGCGAGCACAAAGGATAACGAGAAAAAAAGATGTCCTCTCATTTATGGAAAAAAATAGTACGTTGAAAGTCTTTCGTAATGATCAGACACCAGGCTGGCGGTTTGAACAAAGACAGTTGGGCATAGAAAGGTAAGCCTTCCCTCGAATGGATTGAACACACCTAGAATATCACTTTAGAGTAATGTAAGAGTTGCTTCACATCTATTAATCCGTTCGAATGTTCGAAAAGTGTAGGTGGTCTGCGTGTTTATGTTTTGTTTTTTTTTTTTTTCGATGAGGTCTACGTTAAAGAATCAAATGAAAAATATTATGTGCACGTCTCAAAAAAAAGAAAAAAAAAATCACATCTTGGGCATAACCGAGGTATCCGAGTCTCGTCAACAAAGTAGTATTTTGGTCAGGACGGACCACTGTTCCAATTATAAATTAAAACACGAGCTAGAAACTAAAATCAGCCTAAATGATACAAATCTGTCCATTCCAACTGAATATATAACCTGAGAAAAGTTTCCGCTCGAACGAGATAAGCAGAAAAAACAAAAGTTCACTAAGGGTGGCAGTCCGTAAAGTTTACGCCTGATTCCGACGCACGCGCCGGCAGGTGTTATGTTTTCATGGAGAATTTGTGATGTTTTATGCCTTCAAGATCTCCAACAGTTCGCAATATGTCATAAAGAAGAGCTGGACTGTTGTTTTCTGTAGTTTGTATTAGCATAAAGGTGAAAAATTGGTAAAATCTATCATTCCTCACAATATGTAACATTTGTCCTGCCGAATATTTTACGGTTGGAAAAATGGGAAATAAAAATTTAGTTTCTTGGCAACCCAAATAACGATTATGAATTAGAATCAAACAATAGTTTTCCCGGAATTTTCTCATCAAAGCAGCCATTCTTTTACGGCCTGTGTCTATTAGAAATTCTTCCAACAACTTTGACACAATTAATTTTTAAAATTTTTAGTTTGACATAGAGACACAACATATTTGATTGATTTCCCATATTGTGCAGAAGCGCCTTAACCTTATGGAGTGATACAAAGACGTTCCGCCGCCCTATCTTCAAATTCATCCCCTTACGAGGTTACTTCAGCGGGTAACGATTTACCTCGTAGATATGTCAACTAAACGCCCCACTGAACTACGCCCGAAAGCGAGCAATAAGGATAACGTGAGAGAAAGATATCCTCTCTTTTTTGGAAGAAAAAATAGCATGTTAAAAGTAACCGATAAGTGATTTCCACCAGCAATGTCATTACATCGTCATGGGTGATGAGAAGAAGGAAACATATTGGCTAGATGTTGTACGGACCAAATTCTTAGAGCGGACAATCCAAGATATGTATGATGGACAGTAAGTAGTGTTGAAAGAATCAGAGGAGTATAAAGATTATAATATTTTCACTCCTGTTTAAAGTGTTATGAAGTAATGGAAATGTGATCAATGATTATCTAGAGAGTGTAAAGGTTTTCCTTAAATAGAAATAAGCGGCATCCAAATCCCATCATGCATGATTGATAGATTCTCAAGGCTTACATTGAGATGACCAAGAGTCCCAAAGAACTATAAACAAAAAATGTTTTTTCACATGACAATTTTGTTTAGAGAGAGAATAACTTTATTATGAATCACCGAGGCGGCAGAGAAGAAAAAACACATACTTGAAGGGATTTTGTCAGACGTGTTTGTCCTACACGTCCGTAAAAAACAAGCAGAGACAAACTGCTGCTTCCCGGATACCTGACCTCACAGCTTATAAAAGGCATTTATGGTATTAAGTAGCGCGTGATACACCCCAAGATTCCAGAGTAAAGAAAACAATTTCCTGTCGAGTTTATTCTTTTCTAGCGGACAAGGAGCATGAAATAATTCAATCGATTCCTACATCAAATGAAGGCACGAGAGTCTGGATAACAGAACACGATGTCGTTTGAAAGTTTGTTTTATTTAGCTAAAGAAAAAACAGTCATCTGGTTGAAAAGAATCGAGGGAGAAGAGAAGCATCCATCCATAAAAGGTATCCTCGAGCCAAAACATTGTTAACTTACTTGAAAGAACCGGGTAACGCGTAAAACCTATGCATGATGGCAAACAAAGTTTGGAGAATCGCTCACCGTGCCTGAAGACGATTACTAATGGGAAATAAGACCAAATTCAAGCGTTAAAGAGGAGCGACGCTGAGAAGTCACCAAGTTGGAAGTATACAAATATGAGAAAAGTATTTATGGAGTAGTTAACGCACCATGTCAGGAGAATCTGAAATGAAGGTAGTCTAGTAAAAATCTTATATGTTGGAGTTTTAAGATATGATATTGAGTTCGGAATCGTTCGGAGTCGTTCGGAGTTCGGTTGAGTTCGGTTGGCCCGATTGAACGCTCCTGAATTCATCACGCGTGCTCAATGGTGATCTTTCTGTAGATTTCACGATCTACACTAGACAAATAGGCTACGACTCCTCGAAAGGTAAGAAACTTTTCTTGGCTTTGATTGTAATGCAACTACCTTTTTGAATTATGTTCAACTAGATTTTTAAGTTATATACAACTTTATTTCTGATGGTAGTTTACACAATTGTTCAGGGATTTTTATCAAGGATTTTTACCCCATCAAAATATGGATTGTCAACAAGGCTGGAATATTCCGGTAGGACCATAAACAATATTAAGCAGGAGAGATGTCACAAATTACAATAATGGTTTCGTTTCATAACGTTAAGTTTTTATATTTCAATCGTGACACTTAAACGAATTAGTTTGTTAAAAAATTGTCTCTGTTATCGTGACAAATAATAAATGTTAAGATCAAAATCAAAGAAGCAAAGAAAGGATTTCACATCAGTATTTACAATAACAGATTATGTTATAATTTACATTTTCACAGGATGACAGCATTACTATCAGACCATTTGTTTCAAGGTAGAGATTAGAAATTTTTTCTATTAGTACAGTATAATTTTTACACGTCAAAAAGTGACACACGATGTTATATCAAGCTGCACATACAACAGATTATATGATACGATAAAATCAGGTAGTACACATATTCAATTCATTCATTTAAAAATGAGCCATACTTCAAAATTCATACAGCGTTTTTTTCAGAATATCCCAACTCATGAATTTCTCTGCCCACTCCTCTATACCATTTGGAATTAACTTGCAAATTAAACAAAACACAGCAGCATAACTTGTTTCACTCCACTTTGAAGCCAAGCATTGGGATTAGTTGTTGTATTCCCCCCCTGACTCATAACTGGAGACCTTCCATTATTTTACCAAATGTCTCTCTGCCACCACTGCTTGACGTGGAAAGCTTTTGATCATCAGCTATCACTGTCCTTCACGAATATATTTTCTACATAGTAATGTTGCGGTATTTGTATCTTGCAGTGTTTATGAAGGCGTCATCACGCTATACAACTTAGTTGTAAGTATTTCACCATCACATATATTGTATTCTGCACCTGTTTGAGGATTCTTACTAAAGCCAGTGTTTATTCAATGATCACCAATTGACTTCCTTCTCTTCTTTCTTGGTAGAGAGAGAAAATTCTTATCAGAGGTGTTGTAAATCAAGGACCAAACAATAGGTATGTCATATTTTATTCATCCCTTGGAAGAAAGAAAATCAGCGTAAAAAGTTTATTCCACTTTCAGGCCAAGGAATCAAGATATAGTTGTTGTATTCCCCTCTTGAGTCCCAACTGGAGACCTTCCATCATTTTACCGAATATTTCTCTTTACCATCACTCCTTTTTTTCAGAATATCCCAACTCATGAATTTCCCTGTTCACTCCTCTATACCATTTGGAATTAACTTGCAGCTTAAACAAAACACAGCAGCATGCCCTGTTTCACTCCACTTTGAAGCCAAGCATTGGGATTAGTTGTTGTATTCCCCCCTTGACTCATAACTGGAGACCTTTCATTATTTTACCAAATGTCTCTCTTTGCCACCACTGCTTGACGTGAAAAGCTCTTGATCATTAGTTATCACTGTCTTTCACGAATATACTTTCTACATAGCAATGTTGCAGTATTCATTTCTTGCAGTGTTGATGAAGGCGTCATCATACTAAACAACATAGTTGTAAGTATTTCACCATCGCATGTATTGTAATCTGCACCTGTTTGAATATTCCCACCAAAGCCAGTTTTTATTCAAAGATCACCAATTAACTTCCTTCTTTTTTTTTGTTAGGGAGAGACAATTCTCATAAGAAGTTTTGTACATCAAGGACCAAACGATGGGTATGTCATCTTTTATTCATTCCTTGGAAGTAAGAAAATCAGCATAGACAGTTTATTCCAGTATCTTGTGATGTATAAACCACGTGATAGCTGTCCTCTCAAGTATGACAGTAAGAGCACCTTTCATTAATTACCGCTCTACTCCTAGAAAAACTACTTTCCAGTGCCATGCAGCTATTGTTTTTTATTTGATTTGAAATCGCAAGCCACCGTCATAACATTTAATCAGGAAGGTGATACTTGAATAAAGCCACCCATCGAACACTACATTAACAACATCTTTCAAACAACTCGGGCATAACTTGGTAGTTTGTCCATCTTGTTTGTAATAAGCAACATTGATCATGACCAAGTCGCAACTCTAATTCACAAATACCACGTTAACTGAACTCTGTTCTCATTGTAGCAACGAGGAATTGATGATGACAACAGTCAAGGTACTTGTCACCTATCTACTGACTTTATTTAGTCATCTAGCCAATTCCCCTGTCCTGAAGAAGCTTGAAGCTTTCCTTACCATTATGGTCTCTCTCTCTCTCTCTTCTGGAAATTACAGAAATCGTCCAAATGAATGGCTTATTTGTACTATTTTTCCTTCGCAGGACGAGATGACAAAAATCCGTCGCCAGGTTGTTGACTGAGGTATACTAATCACACTTTCAGATTCACGATGAGCTTGATCTCATAAGCACTCGACTGCTATCAAACCACCAAACCATAATTGAATTCCAGAGACCAATCTTCTGAGTATATAATTCTTGCCAGGCAGGGTACTTCCAGGAAATACCAGTAGGACTTTTGTATGATCCAAAAAACCAGGATTGTTCATTCTTGGGAAAGAATAAGTGGCATCTAATCTTAATGAAGGCCATTCTCCACTTCTTTGAAACTGAAAGCACCATTGCTCCAATAATGGTTGTGTAAATGTTTTGATTATTGTCGTCCTTCTCATTGCCTTAATCGTACTTCTTCAGTGACTATCAAAATCTGCATTCAGAAACCAGTAGGAATAGTACACGAACAGAGGTTTTGATGGATTAAGTGCGAATCCTACTAAAATGTTGCATCAAATCATTATCAATTAAGGATGTCTATCACAGCGTAGGACACTACGCTATAATTTATTACTTATGATCTGCCGATAACAAAGTGCTGTTTTGCTTTTCCAAAAATATCAATTCATTGATAGCTTGTCATGATTTCTCCTTACCCTCTCCTCAACTAATAATTACACCAGAGCAATGGTGTAACTAACCTGAAACACCATAACTCATTCTTTTTACTCCAAGAGCACAAGGACCAGCCTGAGAGCCAAACATTCCTATTTTCATACAATCATTTGTCAATCAAGTTGAGATTTTCTGCAAAACGTCTGCATTATTTCTCCTAAAACTGAAAGGAGACTCTCAGCCCCTAATGGAGAATCTTCCTTTTTCAAATTTTCAGAAAGCTACATCGTAATAGTATGATTATTATTCACCAATTCCTTTCTTTTTCATAACACTTAACGAAAATTTAAGGGTGTATTACACTTTGCCGCAGTCTTTCTGCTAATATTTTGTGATGGTAAGAGTATAAACATTTGGACATTTGTATGGTCCTTTATATTCATCATCAGCAAACAGAGGATAGTGATAGTAAAGCATGACCATCAATCAAATCAATAAATATTATTCACGGTTATGACCCTCTTTATGTTTTTCCACTCTTTATGTTTGTTACTTTTTTTGACGGATTACCCACCAAATTGTCTCCTAACTCAAAGTGGCACCCTTCAAGTCGCCATTAGACAACAAGTAAAAAAAGTAAACAAAACAAAAGAATACAAGCCAAAAAATAACTCAGGTACAACCAATCGGCTGGGGCTTCAAAGAAGAGAAAATCTGTGTAAGGATAAATAAACTGAAACGATGGAACAAGAAGCAAAGTATCAACAACAACAAAAAAAAAACACTACAAAAAAAAAAAAAAAAACCCAAAACAAGCATGACAAATTAACAAAAGTGGCATTAGTTACTTACGTGTCACAAAGTGTGGTGCATCAGACACTTATTGCGTCCTTTCATGTATTTTGCAGGAGCTCTGTAGTATGAGAACCATACGGAACAAGATAAAGTTATGTCTATTAAGTCTAAAGTGATTGTCGTTATATTTATCGTTTACGTGGAGATAATATTTATAATATAAGAAGGATAAGGAAAAAACATTAAATCGACAGTTATTTTGGTTTACGCCAAACTAGTGAATATTACTAGAAGTGTAGCCTGCAGGAGCAAATTAAGTCAGCTCTATACAGTGTACAATTAATAATATTCACTGGATTTGTGAGCAAGAAATAAGCTGGTGAAACTATTTGATGCTAAACATTGTCAAACTGTCAAGTTACCGTTAAGTAAATAAAACTTTTAAAGCGCTCTCGATATTTATACTTCGTGCTTTTGAGTTAGATTCAGAGAAATCTCAATAACGTCAAAGTTTCCAAAAACTCATACGGTTAATTCTTCGAAGTAGCCCAAAAGCGCTACGGTTAAAACGAGGTTTCTACGGTGCAACGTGCTAAGGAGGTCTGCTTCCCTTGCTTTTAGATTTCTTCTGGCACTTTATCGTACGCTGTAAAACAAATGGAACTCACTCAATTAAAGATTCCGGGTTTCGTTTCTATTTAAAATATGTTACGATCTCAAACCCCTTTATTCGCCGTTTTTTCCACTTTCGAGTTGTAACACGAAACCACCCCCACCCCAGCTTAATTTACACTTCGCGGTAGTCTGTTTCAGGACAGTAAAAACAAGAAAGAGAAAGCGGGTGAAAGAAGAATGAGGGAAAAGGCTGTTTGTGTCCCTGCTTCTTCTTTCGTACCCAGTGACCGAGAGCCTGAGACAGGCCGTATGCACAACTGTCCCCGCGGCAACTATGTCAACCGAGCTCTTCTACATCCTGTAATAGTATCACCTAAGTAATTTAAAACTCGTTATTTTCCTTTGCAAGCTCCAATACCCAACCCTCTCCACATCGTCAGCCCTTGTGGTTTGAAATAACATAACACATCTGGCCTATTTTTTAAAGCTTATCTAAGAGTCCTGTACGATTGTCTTAAATCACCGCACCGATTGATGAGAATTCAAATCATACTTTTGTTATATTGATTAGACAGTTGGATGTCCACAAGGCAGAGAAAATGTTAATTTCATGCTCCGCTTAGTGAGCAAGCAGGTGGCCAAATTTTAAACGGAGACTGATAAGAATTAAGCAGTTCAAAAGTTAACAAGCTTCCCTACAAGTTTTTTTTCGTTTTAGTAACCCCTTGTGAAAACTACCTGTACAATTACAGAGTGTACCACAGCTCACTCCTGAATACAGACTAAGGTTTTGATATTCTCTTAGAGAATGTGTGCGACCACATCCGTCTTCGAATCTGTGACAGTAACAGTAGAAATTGAGTAGAAAAGCCATGTTGAAAATTGAATTTCAAAACCCATTTCGAATGTTCCCACAAGAACCAAACCAATGCTATTTACATTTTTCCCGAAAGAAAGTAAAAGGAACAAATTACGAGTTGACAACTAGCGGAAAACACCATGGTGAATGTAAAGGATACTTCATTCATCGAAAAAAGCTCAGATGACCATTAAAGTTAAACGTATTCAACATGATTTGTATGTTTACAATGTGAGAACTTTTGTAGCCCAAGCATCTCGTAGAAAGTCTGTTCAACATTTCCGATGAGAGCTGAAAAATAAAACAATATCATGTAAGAACCCTAGCCAATTATTTTTTCCACAAGATCCACCAACTGAGCTAAAAGGGACTTGCTGGAAAGCTACGGAAGACCGTATGCTCAGCAACCTGGATGCAATCTTGCAATGTTGCTATTAGACAAAAACAAAAACTTCCTTTGTCATGTTAACGCTTGTTACACAGATGATGGCTGACTAAATGAAAAATAAACCGAGAGTAGCTGTCATAGCCTACTCCAATAATGTGAAACTGTAATTCATCAAACCCTATCATTTATCAAATCATATCTTTGCCAAAATTCGGGAAGTTAGAAATAAACTTTCGAGGACAAGTTTAAAGTGACCAGTTGAGTAAACTTTCAATTTCGACGGACACAATAAAAATACAACATTACAAAGACTGTGCCTAGCGATGTCGGCACGTAGTCACCCATCATTGATCACTTTGAGAGCTACTTCGGCTTCCGCAAACGTATTTCCTGTCTGTTACACGCGAGGTTCTAAATAGCTTACTTGCGTTGACTGACATTTATTGTTAAGCTATATTATGCTTGACATTTAATTAAATTTATTGCTTACCCTTAATATACAGACCATTAGCATTCAGTCACACTGTCAACTACGACAATCCAAATTCTACAGTCATCGATTCAGAAAGTAATGAGATTGCACTGATTTGTTTCAATGTACGTTCGTTATGGCAATATGACTATAGACACCAAGGATTAAAACGATTCAAAGGCTAAAAAAGACAGAAAGACTCTTTCGGGTAGTTCCATGCAACTTGGAACATTCATACACGATAAAAAAAACACATGTAATTGTAATGACTCTTAGTCGAAACCAAATTAAAATCAGGAAATCGTTGAAGTGTCGCGTGTTTGTGCACGTACTGAAAGTATTTCAAAACACTCGAAAACAAAGGGAAAAAAATCTAAGTAAACGTTGCAAAACTACCGGTATTATTAAAAGTAATGTTGCAATGATTATGTATCAACAGTGATGTTTGGGAATGATGTCCTACACGGGTTGATTAGAATTTTTATAGTAAAATCGCTCCGAATATTCCTGTTTGCGAAACATCAAAGTAGCTAAGACACTTTTGTTGAAAAAAACTAAGGCCTTGGAATCTGTTAATTTTCCAGGTGCATTCATAATTCGCTTTGGACAAGCCTAGGATTTTAGCCAAAATTGAGTATCGGTGTGCGGTCACAGTCGTAATTATGTGGCGGATTACGGTGCGCTTACGAAAAATTATAGCTTTATCACGTATTTTTTAAGGATTATGTCTATTTGGTGGTGGTTTTATAAACAGAGTTAATGGGCTCAGAAACCTGAGCAGCTATTTCATTTTCCTTGTGGCCTGCTCTCTCAAGCTTCCTCCAGAAAAAACTGAAGAAGATTAAGTTTCAGGGCTGGAGCGGTGGAACAGGGCATAATATGACCGAAGAAAACTAGGCCTCAAAGTCAAGCTGCTTATTGATGTCGAAACTTTTTGCAGCCATGTCACTGAAAGCGATTAAGAAAAAAAAGAAATCTTTTAACCTTCGTGTGGAGAAATACAATTATCGTGTTAAAACAAGGTATAGAATGTGCAAAGTACCCTTAAAAGAACGATTTCCTTTCGATCTTGTCGAGAAAACCAAATCGGTTTATAAGGCCTAGTAAGAACAAAAGATTGCGTTTTGCGGAACTTTCTACTGCCAACGAAAATGCCAGTTTTAGAAAGCAACATAGTGTACCGGAAAAATCCTTTGTCAAGGGTCATCGAGAAAACTAAAAGATAAACAGTAACCAAGCAAACAAAATAACAAATTCTCTGTGTGCAAGATGATACGCTCCCTTGACCTTTCAAGGGAAAATTATTTTGTTTCACACATGATGACAAGACAAAGTTAATTTACATTTTAAACTGAAAAAAGAAAACGACGACAATAAGGCTCACATTTAACTTAAATTATGAGGTCTATACTTAAGGTGCCGTGATGAAGAAGGCCACTTAAAATCTATGTCATATGATTGCTATCAGATATCAAAGGAATGACTAAGTCCCGCGTGGAGTTTGCGTACGCAATATCGGAGTCGCGTCCTCTCGTGAGTACGAGTTGTCGCAAGTTTATTTTAAGGAGGCGCCAGCGTATTGTTCTCGTAAAAAAATTTGTTTTTTCGCTTTCCTAGGTCACTTAAAGCCATCACAAGGGCGACGAGCAAGGTTCGGACTCGACACCTTTGGAAATATTTCCTTTTAAACTATCCAACAAGAATAAGAGCATTTTCAATGTAAATTGACATTTGTGCTTGGGCTCATTTGGCACTCTAATCAAGAATACAAGGCAAATATGCTGGGAGGTTGCCTATAAAGTGCTGGAAGAAAAGTTAGTGTGTGATCTGAAGTATGTTTTCTTTGTTGTTGTAGTATGTACCGTGACGGAGTATAGAGACGATTTGCCATGGTAAGTAGAGCCAATAGTGATGAAATAACTACCAATAATAGAGATAAATTGGGGCAAAAAATTACTCTATATAATTATGAAGCATAGACTATGTTAAATTACAAATAAAACAGAAACATTTGATAATATTGCAATGCTTGAATTTCCAAGGTTTTTTCAGGCAAGTACAGTAATTATAGGTAGTTTCATAGATTCTTTCAACCATTTCTTGATATTCAAAGCAAATGTTTTAATACAAAAGTTGCTTGAAATGGAACGAGGACTTTTTCACCTGATATTCCAGTAAGGCAGAACTAAAGATTGATAAACTAGTGTCAAACCTCGAAAACTTATGTTTTTACTAATGTCTTACTGTCTAATTTACAACGATATGAGACAACGTTTGGGAAGAGAGTACAACACTTGCTGCAATTCTTAACGGTGTTCGCCTCCAAGTCAAAACCACAGGCCTTGCAGTTAACAAGGTAATTGACACAATTTTTCAATGGATGGGAGCATTAAAAACTTCCCTACCAGCTGATAATCACGCAAGGAGCATCCAGTATTAAATCAAAAATTAAGTATTAACTCTTACAAAGTAGTATACAAGACTTCCAGAGTATACATTTTTGCCCTACATTTTTTGACTGTGCCCATCGACAACAAAGGTTGCAAAATTTTATATAAAGCTAACCTTATTTTGCTACCCACCCAAATAAATTTCATAATTGGTAATGGTACCACATGACCAGTGTCTCCTATATTTCATAGAGAAATTAATTTAGTAGTTGTCTAAGAAAAACACGAGAAATAGGAAGTCGTGTAGGAGGACCCCTAGCCGCCTAAATGGGGTTAAGAGCAATAAAGACTCTGGAAAATGTGGCAACATCTCTACAACTCTCTCAGCTTAATAGGAAAGTTAATCACTGTTCCTTCCATTTGGAATGTTCTGGCATTACAATAATACACGTAGGGATGCTACAAAAATCCAGAATCAAAAAACACTCTGCCCGTATTAATGCATCAACTCTGTGTCCGTGGTTTCTAGTTGAGCAAATTATGAAATCCTGGTAGCACATCTCTGTATGGTGTGGCAAACCATAGAGTAAGATCGGGAGTTAGAATGACCTTCTGTATCGAGGACACCATGACCATTAGTTGGGGCAACATTTGCATTTTTAAAAAACTTTACGTTTCCATCCTTTCACACTCTCTACAGGCACTCTCACTGATTCCTTTACTGAATGGATACAGCTTCCTTCCCACCTCACACCATTAAGTTATCTCAGAGGCTTAAAAATATACCAAGAATTGTGGCAGGCTCCTGACTTTCCCTTGTGTAGAAATGACAGTCTCTCGTAACGCAACATTATGACCTCACCGTAGTGTTTTTTGTTTATTTGTGCAAATCTAATGAAGTCAACCTAAACGAATTTGGGATTCTAAATGAATATTTGGTGAGTTGATGTCATTGCAGATAAAACTCAACTCAATGTTATGTTATGTCAAGCATGTCTATTGAAAAAGCCTTTGGGTTACTTTCCCCATTTTCCCCACTCTCCCCACTCTAAATAATGAGACTTGTCAGATTCCAAAGAATGATCTCTCACCAAAATAAGAGATGTCTTAGAAAATGCATGGCCTTTAAGCCCAAGGACAAGAAAATACAGTTGTAAATTTCAGTAATGTCCTAATTACAGTAAAATATAACCTGTTCTGAAACAGCACACTGAGATAACAAATAGGTAACACTTATGTTGTTTGAACCACAGGAATCGCTGTTATTAGATGCTGCATTGAACTATTGCAGCAATTGAATGCAAAGGGGTGAAAAATGAGATTTAGTGTAATTTGATTCAAATGTTTGATTCTTTGTAACACAGTTCTAAAAAACGATTTACCTTTGCAGGGCTGTTTGATTCTAAACTGGTAATTGATTTCCATGACAAGCCGCAACAGTTGGATTGTTGGAGGCATTTCATATTTAGTTTTGTACTTATTTAATGATATTAAATACTTTTACAGCAGAGCAAATTATTGCAGATGGCAAAACAAGTAAAATGATCAGACATTCGTAAAACAGTTCGATCAAAGGGTTAAGAACTGCCAAAACTATTTTGGAAGAGAGAAGAGGTAGCTGTGACCCTTTGCCATCAAACTAACGAGAACTTGACTTCGAATCATTTATCATCACAGAGGAAAAACAAATGTTTTACAGGTCTAATTACATTTGTGATTTCAATTGCTATGGCAACAATTTTCATGCCCCAGTTGAATTTAAAAAGGCTGACATTAAAGATGTTTGAAGTATTGCAAGTCACCTCAGTGGTAGACTCACAACGGTTGGAAAATCTTTTGTTTCTAAAAGTTGAAAAAAAGTTGAATTAAGGTTAAACCTTAGGAATAACTGAAGCCAGTTATTTAAAAACCAGAGTATATTTTATACTCCACATATGGATGGTTTGATCTATATGTCTTTAAAGCATATATTTCAGTTTCTCCGATTTTCAGTATAAATACAAAGCGTAATTAACGTCACCTCCACTCTAGTGATGTACCTATATAGTGAAAGTCTACTACCTTATTGATGTAACATATCAATTCTGAGCTGTTTGAAGACCATTTTCTTGGTTCCAATAAATATAGTCGCCAGTCATATCTTAATAACTTTCCTATGATACATTTTTAATAAATGAATAAACAAAGAAGTAAATGAATTTAGATTTTGGAGAAGATGTCACTTGCTTTTCAGTCACACGTATAAGTCTCCTAAAAGTGACGACTTCAGCATGAAACTTCATTGACACGGAAGGGTCGTTCACAGACCAATCAGTTTGGCCTTTAAAACAGTTGTTTAAATCGGTGGGGGACTATCTTCTTTGAAAAAAATTAAAAGAAATGGTCACAAATGCCCCAACAACCCAGCTCCCTTCGCTATATTGCAACTGCATTTTTATAGCATTATCTTTTTATCTTGTTTTTTTATTTTCTCGGGTATAAGTAACCATCAACCAATACTTGCCTAATCACTTTTCTGGAGTGTGTTGCTCAAAATCAATTACTAGCCAAATACATGTACACTGGGTTGCTTGCTGGGACGGCGCTTTGCACTGGGTCCGAGTAAGTGAAGTTTTCTGTGTCTTGCTGTTCTCCTCCGATTTGAAGCAACAGTTCTGAGTTAAACGGAATCAGTGAGGTCGTACAACGTACAACGAAACTTTTTGATTTGATTTCTTTGGAAAAAATTACGTAAGGTCATTCCCGATCAGGATGCTGGTTATTATCCTCGTTCTTGATGCTTTGGGGATTTTGAAAAAAACAAAGAGAGACAGAGAAAGACAGAAAAATAAAGGGGGTAGGCTTCTAAACAAACTGTGGTGCTGCGTCGGTGGAATGGTATGACAGGGTAATTTAGAATTATCAACCCAGTTGATAACATAACTTGGCCACCGTAAAGAATTTGAAATGAATATATATATATATATGTATATAAGTAGATAGCTAGATAGATATGTATGTATATAGATAGATAGATAGAAATCTATATAGATAAATAGATAGGCAGACTGGCAGATGGACGGATGGATGGTTGGACGGAAGGACGGATGGACGGACGGACGCACGGACGGACGGATGAACGGATGGATGGACGGATAGATAGATAGATAGATAGATAGATTTATAGATAGACCAGGAGCAATTACAGGAAGCGCGCCTTTCTTTCTTCGCTTAAATAGGCAAGCAATGCATGTTTATATAAAGGCGCGCACTACTCTAACACCGGCATAATGCAGGTACGATAGAAACAAATGATATCATGAGCCGCAATATTTGCCCACTTCAGCTCATTGGCCTTTTTGATCACATCAGAGACATCACAACTCAATAGACGGGTATTAGATATGGTTATCCTTAAAATTTTGGAGTTGACCATCACAGCATCTAACTGGTATTTGGTTCTCTTGAAGTCAATAATAAAGTCTTTGCACCAATTTGGGTTCAGCTGAAGATTATTGTTAGCAGACCACTGCTCTACTGCTGTTACAGCGCCTTAGACTGCGCTTCGACTACCTTTGGGGACCACTTCTGCGAGAGTGGTATCATCCAAATATTTCTATGTGTTTGATCCGGGTGGTTTGAGGTCATTTATCATCAAAATAAAGAGCCAAGGGCATGGCTTAATTCCTTTGGGGGGGGGCACCACATAGAACACGTCCCCATTCCCCAAAATCACTAACTTGCGGCCAATTATGTATCAATGAGATGAGTGCATGCAGCGTAGACGAATTTGGAATAACGCCAAATTGGTTCAGGTCGATCCTCTCAAGGATAGCTGGACCTACGTAGATACTTCCGACAAAATCCTCGGACAACTTTGACAAGGGCGGGGTTGGCGAGATGGGTCCTATATGCTAAGTAATAACAGTAACTAGTTTCTCCTTAGGCAGCGGGGCTACGCCGTCAGCATGGAGTTTCTACTCGGCATGGGTATTCGGTATGTCGCAAATGGGATGAGCGAGGGAAAGAGCAAAAACGCAGAAAAGCCAGTTTAAGAGACCATCCGGGCTGCTTGCCTTCCGGGAATTCAGCGCCTATAACGCTGAGCAGACCTATGCACCATGCTTTAGAACATAAATGTCATGCGCGACTAAGGGAGGACTTAAAAGTGGGCTGTAGTTTTGCATAGGCTCGAGGGGAGCCGTACTGATCAAATTCGCAATATCTTGGTATGATTTTCCTTCGACTCTATTAAGACGACTCCATCAAGATGGAGGTGTGATCTTATGTCCTCGCTTATCAGTTAATCGTGACACGAAAGGCCTGGAATGAAGCGTCCAGGTTTTAATTTAAATGTTTTGGATAGCCGCATCTGTTACCATGCTTGGAAAGAGAAAGTCTAAAACCATTGGAGCGCTTATCGATTGAGTGTCGTAAAAACAAAACCCAAAGTAATTATAAGGGCCAATCAGAAAAAAGGATAATACCACTAGGAACCAATGAATAATTGCTCGAAACGTCAGCTTGTTTTACTCTTTACGGTGGCCAATTTACGTTTTCAACTCCTTTGTTGACACTAAATTACCTGCTATACTCTCTCACCGACGCAGCATCACAGTTTCTTTAGAAACTTCCCCCCTTTATTTATTCACCATTGATTTTAGTTTTGAATTTGTTTGGATGAGAAAATGGGAGGTTTTCTGGAATAATATAGCGAAGTAACGCAAGATCAAAGCAATCCCGGATTGCTTCAATATTCAATTGAAAATGGCCCTAATAATATAAAACTGAGGGGTGGGTGATCACAGGTCCTCTTCGAACACGCCACCAGAGTAACAAAGTTAACCTTATTTTTAATGCCAAGTTATATTTAATTCGTCAGTGCGTCGCTCAACAAAATTCAGTCAGAATGCTGGAATTCATGCCTTCCACAATTTCGTTTCAACCATCACTTTGTACCCCCTTCAAAACAATTTACTGTCCAATCATTAACCCTAAGGTTCGCTTTATGCTCATCTTCGTAAACGTTATTTTCATGGAGCGTAACCGAATTAACAGCTTTTTGTCCTAAAAGCAGACGAATTCACATAACAACCACCTTATGAGTAGTCGGAACCTCGTTATCTGTGTTTTCCGTTGACACCTTCCCCCCCACCCCATTAGAGTATGTCGGTGTAAACCTCAAATGTTTCTGCGAAAAAAAACCTATTATGAAGAAAAACGTTTTATTACATGTTCACATGTAACAACATCTCGTGCAGTGGCTACGAACGAAATACAATTACTCACCTGCCTAGGCGAGGGAGCAAATTCAATATCAACATCAGCCTTGCTGCCAAAAACGACAAACATCATCAAAAACAAAAGAAAAAAAGAGGCAAGCCATGCCCCCCGCATTCTCTCCTGGAGTTTGTTATTAGACTGAAGGTCGTAACACTTTCTTTTTCTTGCTAAGACTTATTTCTGCTAATCAAGAGCGAGAGTTAAAACCCTGTACAAAATGTTCATGCCATACGGTATTTATGCCCATTTTCTTTAGCAGAAAATGTGGCAATACCGTGGAATCTTCTCAACGGACAGAATTTTGTCGGTGTGTAAGACATATTAACCCACAAGTATGGCATGTTTGCACAGGCGTAAAACTTGATTATCACAAAAAAGCCGAAGGAATTTTTTAATAACCACAACTTTTGATTGGGAAATATTCAGCTGTCATATCTTACGATTTATTTTTTTGTAATTGGAAATGGTTTCCTGTTCGCTAAAATGAAAAGCAGTTCAAGTCTATTTTTAAATCAAAATGGATAAAACTGGAGACGAACGTTTGTTTTCAAAATGGAGCGATATGTTGACAAGTACGTCGGCGAATGACAAAGACCAAGGTACAAAATGTAGAGCGATTTAGCGAGGTTCTTAGTCCGTAGTCCATGTTTTACACCTGACTGACTTGACCGTAATTCCGGTCAGCTGACAACTTAACTTTCACTTGTAATCGTAAACTATGTTCTATCAGAGACAAACAGAAATTACAGAAATTCTAGAAATTACAGAAATTCTAGAAATTACATCGGCCGCCCTTCGAGAGAACAACTTAGAGCTTGCTCTGATATCGTTTCCAATGCGTTGAGTGGAAGGCCACTTCAGTCACTGCCGAGTTTTACAGCGCTGTCATCCTAAGCAATCTTCATGTTCCGGTAAATTCGGCAGTCGTTCATTCAAAAAACACGTGCTTCAACAGTTTGTTTTCGAACTGTCATGTGAAAAAAACTTGCGTGTTTTTATGCGCCACAATTCGGCCGGATTATATTGAACATTTCACTGTCAGATTCTATATTAGAGACTAGGGTTTAGGCGAAAGAGTTAAATTCGACCCGCGGAACTATTTCAGTTTGTAAACTTTTGCAGAATGTGGAAGGAAGCGGCTAGAGCACTCAGGAAGTGGTATAAAAACTCGACTACGTCTCGTGTTTCTCCCTTCACTTCTTTCGTGCCGCTTTCTGCGTAGTTTACAACAGAACAGAGAACAGTCAAGGCTTCTCTATCGAGAAGAAATCGAGTTACAAAATTATCTATCTCATAACAACCAGAAAGACTGAAGTTGGTAGTTGATGCGGCTAAAATCTAGTAAATCAAAAGATAACAAAGCACACAGGTGTTCACTCACAGAAGGTAACTGCGAATGAAATAAATTTCGCTCACCCCAACAATGTGGCTGCGTACATGTTTATAGACTGCCAACAAATACTGTCCTCTGAGAAAACATGCCAATGCCGTTTAGCCAAAGGACGACTGCTGCATAAATATGCAAAATGCGATCACACATAAATTTATATTCATACCTGAGTTATATCTTCATCCCTGAGGCAGAGATCTATAAACACCGGATAAAATGGTCTGCCTATTTTCAAGAAGTACGCAATCATCAA